TGATATTTTAATATTATTTTTTATTTTTAATTAATAAAAAAAAAAAAAAAGTCTCACCCAAAAATTTTTACACAAAATACAGAACGACGACTATTGAAAATCCCTAAATAACCCATTAATTTCAATCATTGGGGATTGAGAACACAAACTTATTTTTCAATAATTTTTTTAATTTTCTAAAATCATTCTATTTGTTGAACCCCTATTATTTTCATTCCTTTAAAAAAAAAAATTATTCTCAAATTTTTAAAAATATTTAATATTTTGCAGTTAAAAAAACTAATTGTGAAAATTAAAAATAAAAAAAAAAAAATAAAAAAAAAATATAAAAGCAAATAAATAAATAAATAAATAAATAAATAAATAAATATCTTTATATCAAAATAGTTTATTATAATGAATATTGTGTTATATCGATAATTTCCATAGTTTTGATTTAATGGGTTAAAATGAAAATTAATGGGGTGAAATAAACAAATATCTAAAAAAAAAAAAAAAAATTAAAAAATTAAAAAAAAAAATTATTTATGTCCTCAACAAATATTATCAAAAAAACAACATTTCTTTCAACAATTTGGAGAAAATGCCCTTCGTATATCATTAATATCTCCCCCTTTTTAAGTTTTTTTTTTTTATTTTGTCTTTATAATAAAATAATTCATTATTTTATTTGAATCATTGCATCAAAAAAAATACAACATGATTTAAAAAAAAAAATGTAAAAAAAAAAAAAATTATTTATTTTTATTTTTTTTTTAAAAATTACATTTGTGTTTTTCATAATTTTTTTTATAATTTTTTTAAAATCTAATTTTAAAACATTCACTAATACAATCACACACTATAAAATGGCATCTCTCCCTCTTTTTTCTTTATTGTTTAATATTTCAATAAAATAATATTATAATCAAATAATAATAATAATATAATAATAATAAATTTAAAATATGTCTTCACCAATTCAAAATAAAAAAGCTACCACTACTACCACTACTACCACTACCACCACAACAACAACAACCACTAGTAAAACTAAACCAATTAGATTAAATTCTAGTTTTGATAATGGTAGCAATAACAATTATGATGATGAAGATGAAGAAGATGATGGAGATGATGTTAATTTACCAATGGTTAAATTGGATATTGAAGATGTTCAACTATTAAATTTTGATATCGATGACTTTATTAAAGAACAAGATCTAATACATAAAGATGAAGAAAAGAATGTATTATTTAAAGAGTTAATTAAACCAATTAGAAAGTCATATGGAGAAGAAATAGAGCTAATAGAAGAGAATTTTAGAAATGCTGAGAATGAAATTATAGAATCTTTTCCAGCTGGTTATTATGTATGTATTAATAAAAATAAAATATCATATTAAAAAAAAAAAGAAAAAAATATTAATTATTATTTTTTAATAATTAGCCAACTAAGGTTATAAAATTTTTAGATTCTCATATTAAATATATTCAATTACTATGTTTAAAAACCAAAGCTGCTCTTCGTGCAAAAGTTTTTGACTCGATTCAGCAAACCTTCCAAATCTATGTCAATATTCCAGATGAAGCAAATCCACATTCACAATCACCAGATGAAACAACAGGTGATCCACATGTAACCAATGCTGCAGAAGAAACTAGAAGAAAAAAGAAAAGAAAAGTAGATGCTATTTTGGAAAAATGGTATTCAATAAACTACACTCAACCTTACCCACTCTATAGTGACAAAATATTTTTAGCCTCTTTTTCAAAAATAAGCTTCTCTAAAACCAATGAGTGGTTTGGTAACAAGAGAACTAGAGTACGTAAGCAAGGTAAAGATGAAGGTGATGACGAAAATAAAACAATCAACAAAAATATACTCTCAACTTCAACTCATAAAAAGAAAAGAGGAAGTTTTGAAATTTCAAACAAATAATGACATCCTGTACAATAAAGTATCCATTACATAATTACAATAAAGTTTTTAAATAATATTAAAAGTAATGTTTATGTTTTTTTTTATTTATTATTGTTGCACATATAAATTGCTGGTGTGAATGTGACCCCTTTCTTCATATTGCTTTTTTGTAATTAAGTTTGATTGGAAGATACTGTCGGAGCTTGCTTTTATGGAACCACCTAACCACGAGGCCAAACCTCTGTTCTCTGGTGCAATGATTTTGACCGAGTTTGAAAAGGGTGAGGCTGGTGTTGCTGATATTAGATTTTGCAATTCGTTATTGAGACGTGTGGTAAAACCTTTGAATAGGGACGTACCACCTCCTAAAATTATTTTTTCAAACAATGGTTTTTGAAATGTTTCGCCGCACTTTAAAATTGAATCGTACACAATTTTGTGAATGCCCATATTATTGTAGTTTATGAGCAATGGATGAAATAAAGGTTCGGCACAACAAAATCTTTCGCTGCCAATCTCTATTGTATTTCCATCGGGTAATTGATATGAATGGAATTCGGGTGGACTATTCATTTCCTCTTTGAAGTGATTTGATACATATCCTATCTTTTCTTTGATTTCTCTGGCGTATTCGTATGGGATATCTACATTGGAAGATGCACTGTCATTAAGCAATAAAGATTTAAGATACCTGGTTAAATGGTGACCTCCAAATCCTAGATTGTAGCTTGGTATCATCTCTATTTGGCCTCCATTTACAAGATCTTCGAAAACAGGAATCGAGTAAGATATACCACCACCACACTCGACCACGGTACCTGTGGTATTACCAGTAGCATAAAGAGTGAGTCTATGAGTTGGTGTTACATTCAATTGATCCAAATTAAACTTTTCAAACATTATTTCATTTAATCGGTTTCTGTTGTCATTTGAGTTGTATGGACTCTCACTTAACAATACCTTTTGGTCTTTAGAATCCACTTGGTACTCTTTTTCAAAGATATATTGCATAAATGATTCAAATTCGTCCCAATACTTGATTATACCATGATGAATTGGAAAATTAGCTCTATCATTAATTTCACCATGATTCTTGAAATAAGCTTCATATCCAACTAAACTATAATCATTTCGATTAACAACACTTGGGAATATATTTCTGGGTGATGGTTCGTTTGAATACCCAATTTTGGTTAAGCAACTGCCTAAATCGATTACTATTAAATAAAAATAAAATTAATAAACTATATATAATTTCTTTTTTTTTTTTTTATTTACATAAATAAATTACCTAAAATATTATTTAATATATCACCCATTACTATTATTCAATTTTTTTATTATTTAGTACTATTAAATTATTTTAGTTTTACAATGGATTTAAAAAACAATAAATAATTAAATTAAAAAAAAAAATAAAAAATAAAAAATAAAACTTTATAGTGGTAAGTGTGGGTAATGATATTTTAATTTACCACTTTTTTTATTAATGAATTTATACCCTATTTTACAAACATACAAATTAACAAAAAATAAATTATATAATTCTACACACAAACCATAATAAAACTATTAATTCTATTCAAACATAGAGATATCTCATATTATTACGATTATTGTACATATACTATCGATTATTATATGATAACTACATCACTGAAAAAAATATATAAATATATATTGACCAAATAAAATTATTTAATCGGAAATTTTATTTGTGTAAAAAAATCTGCAAATCAATTAAAAAAAAAAAAAAAATTATTTTTTTAAAATAATTTTTAAATTTTTTAATTTCATTTCATTTAATCTTTTTTTTTTTTTTTTTTTTTTTTTTTTTGGTGTGGTTTAATATAATATATTTATTCTTTTATCTATCCAAATTTTCTTTGTGGCATTACACAAACCAAATGTAGTGTATTTCTTAAAAATTTTCAATTTTTAATTTTTTAAATTTTTTATTTTTAAATTTTTTTTTATTTTTAATTAATCAAATAATAATACAATCAAATATAAAAAAAAAAAGATGTCAATAATAAACAACAATACCTTTTCTAAAAGTGTAATAGTTTTTGTTAATTTTATTTAATTAAATTATATATACTAATAATAAAACTATATAGATTTTTTTAAATGGTTTAAATACAAATTTTAGAACCTCAATTTGCGTAAATCATGATCCGATACAGAATGTTTATGCTATAGGTTTTAATGATGGCTCGGTTAAAGTGTATTTATAAATATTAAAAATCAATAAATTAATAAATATATATATACTAAACGTTTTATTTATTATATAGAGTAGGAAAATATGGTCATGAAACTACTTTTAAAATAAAAGTCAACTCAATGATAAAAAGTATTTATTTCCTCGAAAATAAGGTAAGGAGATAAAATAATCAAAAAATTAAATTATAATTTTTAATGTGTTAATTATATTTTTTAATATTTAGCCATTTTTAATTATAGTTACAGAATCATCGATTGAATTGTGGGATTATGAAACAGCTAAATTAGACAACTATTTATTATTTAATGATAATAATTCAACAGTTACATCATCAGTATTCGAAGTTGGAATAGATAATTTAGTAGTATCCACAAATGACTCACAAATTCAGTTTATAAATGTAAATGAATTCTTTTTTTCAAATCACAAACTACCCTACCCACAATCAATATATGATAGAAAATCAATATTTGGTTCAAAGATAATATCAATACCAGAATATCAAATCAAAATTATAGAAAACTCATATAAAACAAATACCTTGGAAATAGACAATAATGACACCTCCAAAATCTATCCAACGTGTATGAAATTCTCACCTTTAAATGCAAACTTACTATTGGTTGGTTATTCTAATGGTTTAATTATAGTTTGGTCAATTCAAGAGAGAATTATCGAAAAGCGTTTCTTTATTAAACAAGACATGTGCTATTGTACATCAGTCGAATGGACAAGAAAAGGAACCAAGATCATTGCATCGTTTTTCAATGGTGAAATCCATATAATAAACTATTCAAACTTTGAAAGAAGAGTGCTTTTTAAACCCGTTATATCTAATAGCAACAAAAAAATTGAAAGCATCTTGAATCAAGGAATTAAACTGGTTTATTCAGATGATAAAAAATTAATTTTAATTAAAGGGTATCATGTAGAACTTGGTGAAAGTAATGGATCTTTGATGCTAATCAAGTTTAATAAATTTAAAGAAAGTTACTCGGCCATTGGTATTGGGTCAAACATCGGACCCTTCTGTCCTATTTTATCATCTCCATTTTTCAACGACAACTATGATCAAAATGCATTTAAATCCATTCTTGCCATAACATTGGATGAAAGACTTATAGAATACCAACTAAATTTGGTAACATCATTCTTTATTCCATCTTATTTCAAAGAATTTAATAACAAATCAATGAACAAATTCCCACAAATGAAAGATATGAAACACTTTGACTGTGATATTCCTACTATGCATATGATTTATACTTCACACCAAAACTCAACAAATGACATGCCAAGAATTTCGGGTGGAGAGTTTTTGGTAAATAGTAAAGAGGCCACTGGAAATGGTCAACTTTTAATTTCATCACACACAGATAATACTTTATACCTTTGGAACTCAACCGACTCAAAGAGTTTACTTTATTTAGGATTTTTAGATCTATCAGAAATTACAAACGAAATTATATCATTCTCATTTATTTCAACATTTATATTAATTTCAGTTAAAGATAAAGATAATAATGAAAACTCAAAACTATTAATATATTCAATTTCAAAAGAACCAAGAGCAATAATTAAAAGATCATTTAAACTAGTTAATAGTAATATAGATAATATTTTAGATAACAGTACCAATAATATTGATAATATAGATAATAATACAAATGATATAGATAATATAAATGATATGGATAATCATAGTTTTCAAAAAACTGAAGAATCAATTTTAGGATTAGAAATTTTTAAAAATTTAGGTGATATTAGATTAAATGATGAAATTATAACAGCCATAGCCGCTTTCCCTATTAGCGATTCAAAACTAAAAATCAACATCCTCCTTGGCACCAATAGTAACAAAGTCTATAACCTTGAAATTTCTCAGAACGGTTATTCAAGTGAAAATAAATTAGTATCAATTGATGTAATATTAAAAGGGAAATCAGAAAAAGATAAAACCATTAAGTCACCCAATTCATATATTTTAGTTATTTCAATAATCAACTCAATTGCATTTATAGGCTATTCAAATGGTAAAATTTCAATATTAGATACCAACAGAATGAGATTCAAATTAATTTTATCATCAGAGCCATTCAAACTAAACAATAAACTACCAATTCAATCCATTTACGCAATAAAAAATGACTCTGTTAATCAAAAATTCAATGTTATAGTATCATCAAATAAAGAAATCTCATTGTTCAATGTGTCCATTCAAGATTTTAATCAGGTATCTTTTAAATTGTCAAAATCAATCAAAGGGTTGTTCATTGGTGGTGCATTTTTAAGCTCATTAACTGTAAAAAGTAAATTTGGTGAAAAGAAACCGGTTATTATTTTGCTTGATGCCACTTATTGTGGAAATCCATTTATCAACATTTACGAACCTAATAACCTGTCATTAATAGAAACCAATACATTAGATCCAACCATAAAACTATCACCAAAAGTATCCACACTTTTTAGTACATCAAATATATATTCACATTCATTTATTTACCAATTTATCGAAAACAACAACAACAAAAACAATAATTGTTCATCCCAATCAAAACTTTATTCAATTTGTGTTGATAGGGAACAACTAAATCAACGAGATTCATTATTCAATGTCTATATACCAACCCCAGCCAAACCCAACCATTTTTTATCCATTTTAGGTTACGGTATCCAAAGTTCCAATAATAGCCTAAATAAGTTTTTGTCGAAATCTGGTAAAAAATATCCATCTTTGTCCTCAAAGGGTGGAATTTTAACTGATAGGTCCAATAACCTATCAAAACAAGCCTGCCAAACCATGAAAGACCTATCACAACAATCCCATCAATTCCATCGATCTGCAATGTCACTTCCAAGTATTTTCCGTGTTGGAAATGAATTACACTAGAACATTCCCAAAATATAATTTCATTGCCAAATTAAATTTTCAAAAAATAAAATTTTTTTAAAAATAATTTTTTTTTTTTTTTTAATTTTTTTTAAATTTTTATGAATCATTTTTTTTTTTTAAATTTTTTAATTATTTAAACTATAAAATAAACATACTATATATATAAAATGGCCGCCATTCCAGCTGAAATTCAAAAACTTCAAGAAGAGTTAATTAAAAATAGAGACTCTTTCCAAAAACTCGAACAAGGTAATCATCATTTATGTGGATTATGAAACAATCAAATGTTGTCGGTATACTAATCCAATATTATTTTCATAAATAACAATTTAATATAAATATCAAACAATATAAATAATAAAACTACACACTATTTAGAATTACAAAAACTTTCAGCAAACAGATCTAAACTTTTAACCCAATTAAACGAAAATGAAATGGTAAAAAAAGAATTTGATTTATTGGAAGTCGACGCAAAAATTTATAAACTTAATGGACCAGTACTTTTTAAACAAACTAAAGATGAAGCTGAAAATACAATTGCTCAACGTTTAAATATTATTAATACAAATTTGTAAGATTATTTTTAGATATTTACCTTGAATCTCAATAACTATAATAATATTACTATCCATTAATATTCTATAGAAACAATAATAATAATAATAAATTAAATAACTAACACTATAACTCTATACTTTATAAACTATAGAAAACAAGTAGAAACTAATTTTAAAGAAACTGAAAAGAAGGCTTTAGATCAAAGAACAAAAATTTTCGAAATTCAAAATAAAATTAGAGCTGCTGTACAACCACCACAACCAAAACAACAATAAAAATAAATAAAAACAAATAAATATTAAAAAGAAAATAAATTATATAACATATATATATATTTTAGGATGTTTTATTTTTTTTATTTTGTTTTTACAATTTTCTAATTTATTCTAAATCAGATTTGACATTATTTAATTGGGTAAATTGTTCAAAGAATTTATGGATTAAATTGGTAGCATGGGTAATATCAGCGACACCACAGGTTTCACGAATTGAATGCATTGAAAGTTGTGGATTACCAATATCGACAGTTTTAATACCATAGGTACCTGAAATAATTGGACCAATAGTTGAACCACATGGTGAATCGTTTTTAACGAGGAATTCTTGGATTGGGATATTGTTCTTTTTGCAGATATCTAAAATGACGAATGAAGTTGGACAAGTGGTGGCATAACGTAAATTGGCGTTATATTTAATGACTGGACCTTTGTTGAGGGCTGGTCTGTGGAGTGGTTCGTGATTGTTGATGTAGTTTGGATGAACAGCATGAGCCATATCAGCGGAAATGAGGAAACTATTACGAAGGGAGAGATCAATGAAATTGTTTAATTCGTGTGATTTGAATTGTTCAGAGAATAAAGCAGTGTTAACACGGGAGATGGTGTCATTGATTAATGGAGCACAAGCACCTTGTGGTGATGATGAACCAACTTCTTCATTATCGTAAAGAACGACGGCTAAAACATTTTCTTCGTTGGCTAAAGTGCTTTCTTTGACATTTAAAAGACCATTAACTGAACAATATGACATGACTAAATTATCACAACGTGGTGAAAAGATAAATTCGTCAAAACCGCCACCAATAGCAGCTGGTTGGGTGTCGACAACTGAAAGATCAAAGTTTTGGATATCAGAGACGGCACAACCTAATTCTTTGGCTAAAAGTTCTAAAAGAATTGGATGATGTTTGGCACCACTGTTATTGGTGGTGGATGAGGTGTCTTCTGGTTTGGCACTGGCTGGAACAGATAATTTTGATGCAATCATTGGTACTAAATGATTTTGTGTGTTATATTTGAAACCATCAGTGTTTACACTACGATCGAGATGAATAGCTAATGTTGGAATTCTGAGAATTGGTTTATTAATGTGAACTAATCTACTTTCGTATTGATCATTACCAACTTTAACAATAACTCTACCTGCAACGGTTAAATCACGATCAAACCATGTATACCATAAACCACCACCATAGGTTTCAACACCAACTTGTAAATATCCAACATTTTCAACATTTGAAACTGGTCTAACTTTAAAATTTGGACTATCAGTATGGGCAGCTGAAATATTAAAACCATTACCTGGTTTCTAAATAGATTTTATTATAATTAGATTTATATTTTATAAATTATATAATATACTACTTTTTATATACATACATATTTACCACCAACCATAAAAGCAGAGATCATAGATTGATTACGAGTAAAGAAATATTTTCCATTTGGTTTAACATCCCACATTTGTTTTTCAGAGAGTTGAACAAAACCATTCTTTTTTAAAAGATCGCTAAAGTATGCAACAGCGTGGAATGGTGATGGTGATTTATCGATGAATGAAATAAATTCTTTGGCTTTTGGAAGATATTGATCCATATTTATTTTATTTGTATAATATTTAAATTGATAAAACTTTAATAATAATTAAACAATTGTTAAGAAAAATGTTAATTAATAAATTTCATTATTTTTTCATTTTCATTTTTTTTATTATTTTTTTTTTCTTTTTTTATTTTTTTTTTTTTTATTATTTCTTTTGAAATTGTTTTATAATTACATTGGTTTTTGAGGAATATAAAGTTGATTTTGAAATTACAGGTGTTGTTAATTGAACTAATACTTTAAAACTTGATCTAAGCATAAAGTAATATTTTACTGGATTGAACACTCAATATTTTTTAAAAAAAAAAATTAAAAAAAATATTTAAAAAATATTTAAAAAAAATAAAAATAAATTTATTTTTTTCTTTTTTTTTTTCTTTTTTTTTTATTTTATTTAATTTTTTTTTTTTGTAAAACTGGTTTGATTGAAAATTAATTAAATATACAATCTTTGCCTATTTTAAAATTAAAAACATAATACTTTTTTTATATTTAATAGTTTCCAAAAAATTTTTTTGTTTAATTATTTGTATGTCTCCTGGTGATAAGTTATTATTAAAATTAATTTAGGAAACCAGGTCTATTTGATCATTCTTTATGATGTGTGGAAGTAAATTGTGGGTGTTAGATAAAATCACCAAAAAAAAAAAAAAAAAAAAAAACGATTTTGATAAAAAGAAATTAATAGAATTAAAAAAATATATACTGATTGGGAAAATTTTATTATTTTTTTATATTTTTTTTTTTTCTTTATTTTTTTTATTTTTTAATTCATTTTTGCAATAAAAAATAATTTTTTTTCTTTTGTTTTAAAAAATTTTATTTTATTTTTTATTTTTTTTATTTTTAAATTATTTTTTATTTTTTTATTTTTTATCTTGCCCTTAAAAAAAGTTGATTGATAAGTTAAATTTTATATTATTTTCTGGACATGATATAAAAAAAAAAAATGTAAATAACAAAATAATAATTTATTATTAAAAATAGATATATATGTGGATTTTACATATGTTCATAATCATAAAGAATAATAATAATAAATTATAAATATTAATAAAATATATATCTTTTTATATATATATTTTTTTAGGGATTATAAAGAAAATTCAAAATCTGAAAATCAGCCATTGATTTCATCATCAGATTCAATTAAATCAAATGGCGTTTCAATATTTAGATTATCATTGGTTAATACTTTTGGTGGTTTGATTTTTGGATATAATACAGGTGTAATTTCAATGGTATTGGCACTACCATTTTTTAAAGATAATTATTCAGAGATTAATCAGGGTTTATTAACATGCAGTATTTTAGTTGGTGCAATGGTTGGATCTATTGTTGGTGGTATTATTATGGAAAAATTAGGTAGAAAGATTGCAATGTTGATGGTTTCAATTTTAACTGTAGTGGGTGCTATTGGTATTTCTTTAGTTCCATTACTTTGGGGTGTTATTGTTTTTAGAGCCATTTTAGGTATAGGTGTTGGTATTTCTGCTATTGTTTGTCCAACTTATGTTGGTGAAATGTCACCAACTGAAAAGAAAGGTACATTAGGTACAATTTTCCAAGTATGTATTCATCTTTTTAATAATGGTTATATTGAAGTAACGAAATATTAATTTAATACCCCCTTTTCTTTAGTTGGCAATCACATCTGGCATTTTTATTAGTAACGCTTTAGGTTTTGCTTTATTGCATGTCCAATATAATTATAGAGCAATGTTTATTATAGGTGCAGCACCTGGTTTATGCTTATTTGCTACATTTTTCTTTATCCCAGAATCAACCAAATGGTTAAATAGAAACAATACCAACCCAGCAACAGATTTATTAATTAATGTAATTATTAATATAAAGTTAATTATAAATACCATTTTTAAAAAATCTAATCATATAAATTATTTTATAGCAAAAGAAAAAACATTCATCTAATAATCAAGGTATACAAGCATTATTCACCAAACCAATTGGCAGATTTTCATTATTTATTGGTATCGTTTTAGCAATTAACAATCAATTGACAGGTATCAATGCATTCATGTTCTTTTCTCCATCAATTTTCCAAAAAGCAGGTATTACAAGTTTAAATTACACTATGATTTCTACTATTTGTTTGGTTGGTTGGAATGTAGTTACTACATTTATCGCAACCTTCTTAATCGATAGAGTTGGTAGAAGAAAGTTAATGCTTGTAGGTACTTTGGTCATGGCTGTAGCTTGCGTTGGTTTGGCCATCTTAAACCTTTTAATTAAAGGTACCACTCTCGGTGTACTTTCAATTGTTTTATTATTCATCTTTATTGCTGGTTTTGAAGCATCTGCTGGTCCATTAGTAAGTTTTTTTTATTATCGATGGTGATGTTTGCTGGTCAATAACGATATTAATTTTTTTTTTTTTTTTCAATAGTTTTGGATTTTAGTTATCGAAATTTTCCCAGAAGAAATGAGAGAAGCAGGTTCAAGTCTTTTAAATGCTATCCAATGGGTATTTAATATTGCTTTATCGTTTAGTTTCCTTTCTTTAAGCCAATTAATTGGTCAATCAGCAATTTTCTTTATTTTTGGTGGTTTTGGTATTGTTTGTTTAATTATTATGTACATTTATTTACCAGAGACAAAGAATGATGACGAAGACGAGGATGAAGAATAGTCATATTGACGAGATATCAAATACAAAAAAACGAAAAAAAAAAATCACATTTATTTTTGATAATTATATTAATTATCACAAAATATAAAAACAAACAAATAATAATAAATTAAGGTTTATTTAATAAGGTTGATACTTATTTGATATTACTTTTATTTTTAATTTTACAAATAATAGATGATTATTTATTTTAGTTTTAAAATTATTTTATTAAAAGTTTTGTTTATAAAAGTGGAGTAATTTATTTCCTTCTTGGTTTTGAGGATTCAATATTATTTTTCATTTCTAAAAGTTCTCTATCATAACGATTTAATTTGACATTCAGTTTTGAAGGTTTGGTTGGTAAATTTACAGTTTCTTTTTCCTCTTTAAAAGTTGAATTTTGTTTAATTGGTGGTTGGGGTTCAATAGTGATTGGATCTTGTGGTTCGGCAGTGATTGGATCTTGTGGTTCGGCAGTGATTGGGTCTTGTGGTTTGGCAGTGATTGGATCTAGCGGTTCAATGGAGATTGGATCCTGAGGTTTAGCAGCTTCAATTGGTTGATCTGGTAAGATTGTTTCTGGTTCTGTTATTACCTTTTTCTTTCTTCCTCTTGTTGGTTTCTTTGGTGATGGACTTGAGATTTCAATATTTTGCGGTATTTTTTCTACAGGTAAAAGAGGTGGTGGAAGTAATTCGATTGTAGGTTTTTCATTTAAAATCACTGTATCTGTTGTATTTAATGATGAAGTTTTTGGTGCAGAGTTATCATTATTCTGTGTAGTTGAGGATTGTAAACGTGATAAAATTTTTTCTTTATTAAAACCAAGTTTAGATTTTGCTGCTGGCTTAAGTTGTGTTTGTTGTTGTTGCATTTGATTTTGATTTTGATTTTGGATTTGATTTTGTTTTTGTTTTTGAGTTTGATTTTGTTGTATTTTCTGTTGTTCTTGTATTTTCTGTTGTTCTTGCATTTTCTGTAGCTCTTGTATTTTCTGTTGTTCTTGTATTTTCTGTTGTTCTTGTATTTTCTGTTGTTGTTGTTGTTGTTGTTGTTGTTGTTGTTGTTGTTGTTGAATTTGAGCTTGTTTTTGAATAAAATTATCAAACAAAGTATATTTTTGAGATTTGGTAACATCAAATTCAGTTGATTCTTTAGATACAGAGAGTAAAGAGCTAAAGAAATCTTCTTCGGTTGGTTTGATTGATGAGTCGTAGATTTCGCTATCAGCATCATCATCATAGTCAAAATCACCTTCATCAGAACTTTCATTTTCTTCATTTTTATACTTTTTATTTGTTCTTTTTGAGCCTCTAGGATTTTTTGAAGTGTTTTTGAATTGATTTGGAAGGGTTTTAATTGGTGTATGTGATTGGTTTGAATGAACACGTTTTTGAGTTGTTAGTTTTGGTGATTCTTTTGGTGGTGCAAATGCCACTTGTTTAACTGGTGTTTTGGTATTACTATTTTTTAAATTTTTTTTTGGAGTTTGGTAATTATTCATATTATTATTATTGATATTATTATTTGAATTACTATTATTAATTAATTGGTTATTGGTTTTCTGATTAATAAATTGATCACTATTTACTAATAAATATTTTTGGTTTGGAATTGGAAATTCTTCGGGTATAAAACCATCAGTTGAGATTCTAATTGAGTTTTCTATTGAGCAATCAGATGGGCAAACTTTAAGAGAATAAAAGAAAGGATGCTCTAATAGGAGATATGGAGGAAGAGAATGCATTTTCTTTTTAAAGCTTTGATATAGTTTTTTTTCATTTGAATTATCTGGGTTTGAGAGATCTGAAATTTTAATTTGAGCCAATAGATTACTAAGACAACTGAGATCATGGTGGAAGAAGAAATGTTTTGAGGATTTGTTTCTTTGATTGAAAATCACTTCGTCGGTTGATGGTATTTTAATTCTACTAAGACCAAAATCTGAAATTTTAACAATCCAATCACTTACAACCCAATGATGATATTTCTTAAATGTGCCATTCTTCAAAATATAGCCGTCTCCTTCGGTAGGTATAGTTGCTTCATCGCCTTCGATAGGATTTTCACATTTGTCTTGATATACTATATATTTTTTACCAGTTGGAAATGATTTTAATAAAATGTTACCAAAATGTAAATCATTATGCACAAATTCAAATTCTTTTTGGGTGATGGCCAATGCATAGGTAATTTGAAACAAGAGAGATTTAACTTGACAAAGTTTGAATTCTTTGTTGATTTTATACTCGGAAAAACTTTTTAAATCTGCATATTCTAAAATAAAATGCATATATTGATCTTTATATTTATTTATATCATTTATTTCTTGATTTGATGTCGAAGAGTTTAAATTAGCCATTGTTGATTTATTTGATGCTTTTGCTTTATACCAATTAACTAGTTCAACAAAATTACAAGTTTTCTTTGATAAAATTAATTTCTTTAAATGATCTAATATTATTTTTTCTCTGTATGATTGACTGAGTTTATTATGTGGTGTTGATATAATTTGTTGTTTGACAGCAAATATTTCATTATGTTTATTATTACTATTAATATTATTATTACTATCAGAATTATTATTTTCATTATCATTATTATTGTCATTATTGCTATTTTTAATATCGTTTATGTTATTGTTTTCATTTTTATTCTTTATTTTGTTATTTATAAAAAATACATTTCCATTTTTACCACCTGCTTTTTTTAAATTATTGTTTATTGAAAATTTATTTATGTTGTTTATATTGTTATTATCATTTTCATTTATTATATTTATATTATTATTTTTATTGTTATTATTATTATTATTATTATTATTATTGTGGTTAACTGAATCTTTTATGATTTTATTAAAATTTAAATTTAAAACTGATAGATCGATGTCAACTGGTTCATCGTCATAGCTATCATTTTCTTCATTATCGCTAGTTTCTTCATCACTGAGATAATTTAAATTAACATTATTTTTTGTAATATTTCTATTATTATATTTTTTATTATTATTATGATTCATTTTACCAGTTGCAGGTGAAAAAAAGTGGGATGGTGTTTTTAATAAATCGCTATAGTTATAAGCATTGTTATCGTTGCTATTATTACTGCTAATACTGGAGTTACTATTAATTGAATCTGTACTATCGTTCATTGGTGATGGTGATGATGATGTTGACGATGGTGAATATGATATTGATGAGTTTGGCGATTCATCTTCTAATGAGCCAAATAGTATATTATTGCTTGTTTGCCTTCTTAAGGGTTGTTGTAAAATATCTAATTTTAATGTCATGGTTCTTTATTATTGAATGTTTATTATTTGATTACTTTTTTTTTTTTTTTTTTAAAATTTATTATTAATTTTTATTATAAATAATTATAAAAGGTGAGGTAATGTTCTAATATTGAGGACTTAGTAATAGGTAGTAATATACAAAAATAAAGTTTGGGGTAAGAAAAAAAAAAAATTCAAAAAAAATATAATTTAAAAAAAAACAAAATTTTTTTTTTTATAATGGCGCACTATTTTTTTTTTTGATTTTTAAAGAATGATTTTAGAAATAATAAAAATATTTTATTTATTGAAGAAATATATATATATTTAGGTGTCAGTTTTATATAGATGTTTAGAATAAATTTATTAAAAAAAAACATTTAATTTTTATTATTTTTTTTTTAATATTTTTTTAAATTTTTTTTATTTTTTATTTTCATTTCATTTCATTTCATTTCTTCTTTTTTTTTTTTTTATTAAACAATAATAATAATAATATTATTAATCTTATTTTTAATGACAATTAGTAATTACAGCGTAATAGAGTTTGGGAATATTCTAAATAATAGAGAAATAACAAAAAATGCAATAGTAGGAATCATTAAACAAATATTATATAGTAGGAATCAATGTTCAATGCCATTAGATACCATAATAAACGAATATAATACTAAAATAAATAACAGCCATAACGATGAGGAAGGGGGCAATACAACCAATAACAGTTATAAAGTACCTTTTAAAAAGAAAAGGTTTATAGAAAGTTCTCAAAAACTATTTAATGGTTTTTCAAATATTTATAAAGAAAATGGTCCATCACCTTTTCAACAAGAACAACAACTATTACAATCACCACAACTATCATTGGTATTTTCATCGCTATTAACCAATACAAGCCCATCTTCTTCACATAATAACAGTCAAATAGAATCCATTCCTCCTCCACCACCAAAAATAGTAGCATTATTATTGGGCTCATCAATATTTAGTTTAAAAGAGATATATTTGTTTCTATTAGATAACAGTTATGAATCTAATAATAATAATAATAATAATAATAATAATAATAATAATAATAATAATAATAATAATAATAATAACGATAGCAATAATAATAATAGTAATAATGGTAATAATAATACATTAAGAAGAATAATGATAAATATAATTCAAAATTCACCAGAAACTTTTATAAATATATCATTAAAGTCATATGTGGTAATGTACAGCAATAGAATAAACCAAGATATAGAAAATAGTGATAAAAGCAAAGATAATTTATATGATGAAGAGGAGGCTGTTTTTATTCCACAACAAGATTTTAAATTAAAATTAAAGAAATCTACAAAAATCCAAGTTTTCAATTTTACAGATTCAAATATTAATGATATTATTAAAATTACCCCAACTCAAATTCAAATAAAAAAGTCACTAGCCAAAGTACAACCGCAACTCAATGATAGTATGAACTCAAGTATATCAAGTATGGAGATTGACAGTAGTGTGGATTATGATAGCCATATGGAAATTTATGAAAGAGAAGAATATGAACAAGAATGCGATGATGAAAGCTACCTGTGGTATCAATTTTCAGAATCAATTAATGGAATTAAATAAGAAATTTTATATTTTATTTTTAGATTAAATAAATAAATAATAAATAAACTTTTATTCTTTTTTTTTTTTTTTAAATTATATAATTTAAAATATATATACATTTTATCTATTTATCTCTTTTCTCTATTTAAAAAGTGAAGAGCTAAATATGATGTTGTGAAAAAGAAAGCGGTCCATAAAATAACGATACCAAAACTTTGATCTCTTGACCATTCATCAATGCCATAATATTTTAATACTTCATTACCATTTTGGAATTGACATGGAACTACCATGGTTGAATTGACTGGTTGTACACACTCTAGTTCCAAGTCTTTGAATTGAACTTGCATCAATGAGGCAAATGAATAAAATAGTGGATTGATGTAATGTAACCAACCAAAGCTAACTGGTAATTCTTGTACTGGAACAAAGAAGCCTGCGAACAACATAAAGATTACACAAAATCCAGAACCGTAAGCAAAGGTGATATCACTGGCACCGGTCATATTGGCCAATGTACAGATTAAATAGTCTGATAAAAGTTGTACAAAGTAATATACCATCATAGCATAAAAGAAATAGGATGCATCCCAACGTAAACGTGCAAGTAGGTAGCAAATGGCCGCATTGATAATGGCTACAAAGAAAACTACAAAAGACTCTACAGTCACGGTGGCTAGGTAATATGGGAATGAGTGGTATACTTTGGAGGCTCTTTCTGCATTGAATAATGTACGTTGACTGAGGAACAATGAAATAACTGCAAATGGTGTCAAGCAAAGACCAGTGATTAAAAAGAAAATAACACCTATCATTTTTTGAGCATCTTTACTATTTTCTTTTAAATTTGCAAAACAAGCACCAAATAGAAGACCAGTGAAAATTGCTGTTCCGACTCTAGCAAAAAAGTTACCTTGGTTTCTTAAAAAGTCTCTCCATGCTCTTTGTAATAGGATGTAGTATTGATAGGTTATTGGAGTGGCTTTTGGTTTTTCAATGTCAATATGGAGCTGTGAAATTTGATTAATCATTTCATTCTCCCAGGTATCCTGCCATTGTGCGCATATTTCTTCATATCGATCCCCATCACCGATTTCTACTGCGGTATCTAAACAAAAATCTGCTGGGTTCATATTATTTGGACAGGTGTAGCCTAAGTGTTCAAAGTGTTCTAGTATTTTACTACCATTATAAATCATTTTTCCCTTGATAAGAACCATTACTCTATTGAATAATTCAAATATCTGGGATCTTGGTTGATGGATTGATACGATGACTGTGCAGCCTTTAGTCTTTGTAAGATCCAAAAGAGTTTTCATAATTGATAAAGCAGTTACCGAATCAAGACCAGAGGTTGGTTCATCGAGGAAAATCAATGATGGATTTGTAACTAATCCACAACCAATGGAAACTCTACGTTTTTCACCACCAGAAAGGCCTTTTAATATAATACCACCTGGTAAAATACCACCAACTTTTGAATCTCTTCTTTTAGTTAGGCCAACATCTTCAATGACTTGTTCAACTCTTTTTATTTTATCTTCTTCTGATACACCAGGTAATCTTAAATCTGCATAAAACTTTATGGTTTCAAATACAGTGGCAGTCTGTAATAAGATATCCTCTTGAGTAACATAGGAGCAATACTATTTTAATAAAAAAAAAATGTAAAATATGAAATTAATATTTACCCCCAAAATTTTAAATTTTAATAATATAAAATAAATTATAAGTGTTTAATAAAAATAAAATAGCATACCTTTTTATAAGCATCACCAACCTCTTTTCCATTGATCAATAATTTACCAGTTATTTTACCAGTACTTTTACGCTCTGCTAGAATATCAAGTAATGTAGATTTACCACTGCCCGATGGACCCATCAATGCACATAGCTCACCTATAGATCAAAAAAAGTTAGAAAAATTAGTATATTTATTATTAAAAAAAAAAAATTAAAGCTAATTGATTAAACATACCTTTTTCAAAAACGCCGCTTACATTTTTTAAAATAGTTAATTCTTTTTCGATAGTTTGATTGTATTGGCCGGGATTTCCTTCATAATCATCACGTTGTCTGGCTTCAGCTTGTTTTTTTAATTGTTTTTTGTATTTTCTATTTTCTACTTTGTAGGTTATATTTTCAAAGGTTAATTGAACACCTTTATTATTTATAATGTCTAATTCCATTTATTATTGTTATTATAGTTATATTTTTTTTTTTTTTTTTATTGTTTATAGATTGGTGATTGAATAAAAGAATATATGAAATTAAAAAAAAAAAATTGCAATTTAAATTAAAAAAAAAAAATATAGAAAAAATAAAAAATAAAATGTAAAAAATAAAACATTTTTTTATTGTATATATTGGGGTAAATAAAAATGGGAAAAAAATATATACAACATCACATTATATTGTTAAAAAATTAACTATTACCCCAAGAATATACAAATTTGTATATACCTAAAATAATTTTTATTATAAAAAAAAAAAAGTAAATCATTATCATATTTTTTTTTTAAAAAGTATGTTAATGTGTTTGTGTGGTAGTGTTAGTGGATGATGCTTTTAAACTATTATTTTTATTATTTTTATTCTTTTTATAATTTTTATTGTTGATAAAATATTTTTTGTTGGTTATTATATCAATTTGAGTAAAAAAAAAAAATTTGACATATTAAAATCCCACACTTACCACAACATATTTTTTATAAATAGATGGGTGGTAGTGTGAGTAGTTATTAAATTATTATAAAATATGCTATATTTATTTGGGGGTTTAACCACATTTTTTAATTTTTTTTTAAAAAAAATTTTTAAAAAAATATTCTATATATATCATTAATACTTTGAAAAAAAAATAAAACAACACTTTCAATTGGTTATAAATTAAATTAATTTTGATCTAAAAAAAAATAAATCTTGATCATTAAAAAAAAATTTTAAAAAAAACCAATTATTATAAAAGTGTGTGAGACTTAAAACACTTTAAACCAATTTTGAATTTTTTTTTCTTTGGGTGGTGAACTAAAATAGTTTTTATATAGAAGCCAATATTTAAATTTAAGTCGACTTAATTTTAAACAATATAAAAATTTTATATTTTCTATTTTTGGTTTATTTAAAAATAATTTTTAAAAAATTAAATAATTATATTATAATATATCGAATTTTTTAAAAATGATGATGTGTATTTTCTTTTTTTTTTTTTTTATCTCTTTTCTCTATTTAAATAATGTAATGCTAAATATGAGGTTGTGAAAAAGAAAGCAGCCCATAAAATAACGATTCCAAAACTTTCATCTCTTGACCATTCATCAATACCATAGTATGATAAAACTTGATTACCATTATTGAATTGACATGGGATAGTTGAGTTGGCTGGTTGGGAACATTTGATTGGCAAATCTTTAAATTGAACCTGCATTAAAGAAACAAACGAGTAGAATAATGGATTGATATAATGGAGCCATCCAAAGCTAACTGGTAATTCTTGTACTGGTACATAGAAACCGGCAAACAACATAAAGATTACACAAAATCCAGAACCATAGGCAAAAGTCATATCACTTGTACCTGTTAAGTTGGCTAGTGTACAGATTAGGAAATCGGATAACAAATGAACAAAGAAATATATCATCATGGCATAAAAGAAATAAGATGCATCCCAACGTAGATGTGCAATTAAATAACAAATGGTTGCATTTATGAGGGCGACTAGTAATACTACAAAGGTTTCGACAGTGACCATCGCTAGGTAATAAGGGAATGAGTGGTATACTTTAGAGGCTCTTTCTGCATTGAATAATGTACGTTGACTGAGGAACAATGAAATAACTGCAAATGGTGTTAAATTCAAACCAGTGATTAAAAAGAAAATAACACCAATAATCTTTTGTACATCTGCCTCAGTTTCTTTTAGACCTGCAAAACAAGCACCAAATAATAAACCAGTAACAATAGCAGTACCGACTCTAGCAATAAAATTACCTTGGTTTCTTAAAAAATCTTTCCAAGAACGTTTGAGTAGTATATAGTATTGATATGACCATGGTGTAGCCTTTGGTTTCTCCACTGCAATAAATGGTTGTGTAATTTCGTTAACAATTTCGTTTTCCCATATCTTTTGCCATTGTGTACATATTTCATCATAACGATCACCATCTCCAATTTCTACTGCGGCATCTAAACAAAAATCTGCTGGATTCATATTATTTGGACAGGTGTAACCCAATTGTTCGAAATATTGCAATATATTATTACCACTATAAATCATTTTGCCTTTGATGACAACCATTACTTTATTAAATAATTCAAAAATTTCTATAAAGATAAAATATTAGTATATTTTATTTTTAAATTTAAACACCCTATTTAATAAATACATACCTCCACGAGGTTGATGAATACTAGCAATAATAGTACAACCCTTGGTCTTTGTAAGATCTAATAGTGTCTTCATAATTGATAACGCGGTTACCGAATCTAGACCCGAGGTTGGTTCATCAAGGAAAATCAATGATGGATTTGTAACTAGGCCACAACCAATTGATACTCTACGTTTTTCTCCCCCCGATAAACCTTTCATTATAATACCACCTGGTAAAATACCACCAACTTTTGAATCTCTTCTTTTAGTTAGACCAACATCCTCGATGACTTGTTCAACTCTTTTTATTTTTTCTTCTTCGGCCATTTCTGGTAATTTCAAATCTGCATAAAATTTAATTGTTTCAAATACTGTTGCAGTTTGTAATAAAACATCCTCTTGTGTAACATATGAACAAAACTATATTGATATAATATTAATATAAGGTTCAATTTAATAATATCTATAAAAAACTTTATCCATACCTTTTTATAAGCATCACCAACCTCTTTACCATTAATTAATAGTTTACCTGTTATTTTTCCAGTACTCTTACGCTCTGCTAGAATATCAAGTAATGTAGATTTACCACTACCCGATGGACCCATCAATGCACATAGTTCACCTATAATTTAATAAAAAGATGTATTTTTGTTGTTAGTATAAATAATAATATTATTATTTGAAATAATAATACTATTAAAAATAGAATGATTACCTTTTTCAATAACACCACTAACATTATTTAAAATTGTTAATTCTTTTTCGACTTTAATATCTGTAAAGGATGCTGGTTTATTATTACTTTCATAGTCATCATTCTTTTTCTTTCTGGCTTCAGTTTGTTTTTTTAATTGTTTTTTGTATTTTCTATTTTCTACTTTATATGTTATATTTTTAAATGTTAACTGAACACCCTTTGTATTGTTATTATTATTACTATTAAAATTATTATTGCTTATATTTATATTATTTGTACTGTTTGGGATATTGATCAACTCCATTGTTTTTTTTTACACAAAATTATTTAAATAATTTAAATTAAAATAAAATTACTTAAAATAAATATTTATTTTTACAAATATGAATATATTTAAACTATATATTTATTTTTTTTGAATATTAAATTTTTGATGAAAATGGTTAAAAAATAAATAATTTATATTAAAAAAACATTTTATTGAACAAATATTGAAATTAATTTCAATCACAATAATTTTTTTACGTAATTTATACTACTAAACAACTTTCTATTTTTAAAATAATAATTATTCATTTTTTAAAAAATAAAAATAGAATGAGGCATAAACACACTCTTATTTGGTTATGTATAACGAACTAAGATATTTAAAATTCAAAAAAATAAAAAAAAAATAAAAATAAAATAAAAAAAAAATTTTTAAAAAAATAAAAAAAATAAAAAAAACCTGTAATAAAAAAAAAATAATAATAATAATTTGGTGTTTCATTTTTATCACCACCATTCTAAATATTTTATCACCACCATACCAAATTAGGCCCATATTACAATAAAATATCTTTTGATTTCTCACAAATAAAATATTTATTTTAATATAAGGTAATAATTATGTATTTTTTACAATATTAAAACCAAACCATAAAAGATATATCAAATTGGATGGTACTCAAAAAAAAGAGAAACCATTATTTACATTTATTAATTGAAAATTCATCAAATTTCATATAGATTTTCAACCCTGCCCTGGTATTACCCTCATCCCAAATTAGTGAGTATTAATATAGTTATAAATGTATAGTTATAAAACCATATATACAAATAATAAATAAATAAATAAATATAAGTGGAAATTAAAAAAATAAAGTGAAGTTTTATCAAAATTTTTTTTTTATGTGTGGGTGAGCGGAGTTTTTACCGTTAAAATATTGTTTAGTAATAAATATGGTGGTCTTTTTATTAATCTCATATAATAATCATTTTTTATAATTCAACCAATATTAATTTTTTTTATATTAATCTTAGCATCCAGATTGATTTTTTAAAAAAATAAAAAAATACAAAATTTTTTTTATTTAAATTTTGTTATAAAACAACACACCAATAATAATTCTATAGTAAAAACATCAAAAATGGATAATAGTAATAATTATAATGATAAATTATTTTTTCGAGTTTGGAGGAATCAATATTTGTTAAGATTAATATTTCATTTCATTCATACAGTAGAATGGGTCAAACCTGTAGATTATAGGTACATTGGCTTTTCTTTTAGAAAAAAGTTCAAAAATATAACAACAATGGAGAGTTTGATAGATAAAAAATTATTTCAGTTACTAAAATGCAAGTTAGAAGCTAAAGAATTTATTAGAATCAAGGGTTCCAGATTTAATTTTTATTTAAATTCTATTATCAAGTATGATAGAGATTTGGCAAAGGATATTTTCAAACTACTATTAAAATCAAATTCAATTAGAAATAATGATTTTTTAACAAATGAATTACATTTAATTGATGAGGAATTTATTCAAATTGCAGTAAATGAACCATTTTCAATTCAGGTGTTCCCATCAACATTAAAAAAAGCTTTCAATAACTCAAAAATGTCTCAGATTAGAATACTATTGGATTCATTTCTTAATATTGGTAATAATGGTTTAAAAAGAAATAGAGATCAGTATGAGATTGACCAAGAATCACTACCACCAACAACAACAACAGCAACAACCACAACATCACCACTTCCAACCACAACAATAATTTCAACACCAATATCAAAATGGAGTAATAGCAGTATTAAATTGATTAATAAATTTAAAAAAAATATTTTTCAGTTTGTCTTTAAAAATGTCACTAACTTATTTCAACTTGATATTACATTAGAGATTATTTTCAGTGACCCAAAATATTTCATTGTATCAAAAAAACCACCTTTTTTCAAAAATAAAATTAATATAGAAGATATAGTATTCAGAATATTGTCTATAGAGAATCAAAACCAATTTTTAGATAGGGGATTGTACTTTATCTCAGAATCAGATCTTTGTTGTGACTATCCAGCAACATTAAGTAAAATAATCAACGATAACAAGGATATAGACAGGATAATAAAGTTATCAAATCATATTAATAATCATAGAAAAAGCCATAAAGAAGCTCCACTAAAGTTTTGCCAATTCGAACCTCTTTTGTTAGCCGATTTAAATAATTTAAAACGATTTTCAATAAATAATAGAAATAACTGGAAAGGACTAATAATTGAAGATTTTAGAGAACCTTGGCTTTTAGATTGTGATAATAAATTTATCAAATATTATTTTGAAAATCAACAAGATCTTAGCTATATCAGTACATTTTTAGAAAATATAATATTCAAATCAATTTTTAATAAATCTATTTTTAAAAAAGAGGAGCTATGTCAATTAATAGAATCTCTATCAAGTTTTTATAACAATAATGAATATTTATCCCTATGGTCTGAAATTATTAAAGAAACCAGGGCTACGAGTCTACCTGCTGTCTTTTATTCCATCGAAGGAGATGACGTAGTTCGAATGACTGATGATAATGGAAATAATTACCCTCAATTTGCAGTTAAAGATATGCAACAAATTGATAAAATTTCAGAATATTTAAAATTATTTTCCATAAAAAACAATCGTACTGGGTTCATTTTTAACGATAGTCAATTATTACAGTATGCAGCCAAAAATAGTGTGGTATGTCGCCATACAGATAATTTTAGTTTAGAATATCCTCTCTGCAAAGCTATCCAAAACTTTAACTTAAAAGAAATTGAAGCCATTTTTAAACTTGATTCAGTTGATTGGGACTATTCGTTGGCCAATTATTATCAAAAGAAACTTAAACCAATACCATTGTCAAATATTGATATACAAGAGATTGTTGAAACTGTAAAGAATTTTTTTTTAATGGATTGTGAAGAGGGGGTTTTTGTATGTTTGGATTCAGTACCAGAGGGAATTAGTGAAAATACTGAATACTGTTGTATGATAGCCGGGGTACTAAAGCAACAAAGAGGTACAGATTCTTTAACACGTTTATCAAAGCTATTCGCTTTGGCTATTGCAAGACAATCAATAAAAGTGATCAAGATTTTTCTAAGTGAAAATCAAAAAATATTTATTACAGATTTAAACCCTGGTGTTATTCATGATGAACTCAAAAATTTTAAAGACTACAATCTCCCATTGTTCTGTTTTTTTGAAGAAGAAGATTGTCCTAGGACCGAATTTAAAACACCAGATTATGATATAATTGATATAGATCTAGTAATAGAAGCCATTCATTTATTAATTAATAAGTTTGAAAAACAACAGCAGCAAAACTTTATACATTCCCAAGAAAGCAGTATTTTAAATTCAAGTGTCAATATTTTATTCAAAATATTAATTCAAAGTGGGGGCAAAGTACCAATAGAAAAGATTAAATCAGCTTATCATTACATCAATAGCTCTGGTGTTGTCGTTGTTCAACAATCATCATTATTTTCAATCTATTACCTTTCAAATAAATCACCATTGCTCACTAACTATTTTACTTATATACCCTGCTATAAAGAACTGATAGATCCAATAGATGAATATTTAGATTACTATATTGTAGATTCTACAGTGAAACCAGATTTTACCCCAGATTACCTCCAAAATTTTAATTTAGCCAACTTTATAAAGCCAGAGGATTTTACATTCGAATATATATTTGGCAATAGCCAATACAATGGAAATGATGGTGCATCATTGGCCGATATTTTCGAAAAACTTTTCAATTCATTTCTTCCATTTTTTGATAAAGGTATTAAGACTATAAAAAACTCAAATATGGAAAAATTCCTCAATCAATCATTCGCAGTCCTACTCCACCTTAAAAGAAATGATTTACTATTAAGCTATATTCTTAAGTTTGCATGTGATTACCGTTTTCATTTATTTAACTATATTACCGATGCCATCCTCAACACTGAAGACCACGATCTAATTTCAACAATATTAAGTACCCACCGCTATTTATTTAAGGATTCATTAGAAAATATAGGTACTATGGACCTTTTGGTACGATATTGCATCAAAAACAAAATCGAAATTAATTCGATTTCGATAAATTTTGGATGTAAGTCCCCATATATTGCATCAATTTTTCATCACAAATTGTTTGGTGTTGGTGCAGAAAAATACCATAATTCCTTGTGCATGATTACCCCCTATCATTTCCCAATGGAGTTATATTTATTCCTACACCGAACCTATCCAATAATACAATTATCACAAGTTGTAATTTTGGAAGCTATCCAAAAAAGAAAAATCAATTGTATAAAAACATTATATCAAAATAATTTAATCAAGAAAAATAATTACTTGTTATCCTATTTAAAAAAACTATTATTAGATGATGATGATTATCAATATGTTAACTGGATAGATTTAAATTAAACATTGTAAAAAATATTTGAAATAAATAAATAAATAATACCATTAAATATTCTTATCCATATAAAATACTTTTATTTCACTGTTTGTGTAATTTTTTTATTATTTAACATACAATTATACATCAACTATTTTGAAACCGTTAATCTATTTTCGATTTAAAAACAATTAATATTCTCTTGCTATTTTTCATCCTTGTTTTCCCTTTTAAATTCAAAATAGATCTCCTCGAAAAATGGTATGAAATTTTTACTTTAAAAAAATATAGTCAAGGCCACTATTTGTCCTGTTTATAAAAATAATTAATAGTTGGGTGAACATTGTAAATTTCTCCGTAGATTTATTACCACTTTATTTACATTTTCACAACCTAGTTTATGAATTATGGTAGTTTAGTTGTGTATTTACCCTATACTTTTTTTTTTTTTTTTTTTTTTCAATACAAAAAAAAAATTTATTTTTAAATTATAGCGAAAATTAGTGTTATAAATATTGGATCTTTAATTTTTAAAGAAAAAATAATAATGTAAATACTATATTCCCTCATTTTATATTTAAAAAAAAGGTTTTAATAAAAAAAAAAAAGAAATTATTAATAAAAAAAATTTTCAAATATTGGGAAAATAAATTTCTACTTTAAGATAATAATTTTAATTTTTTATAAAGCATTTATTAATAATATTTTTATCACTTATTTTATAAATATTTTTATTCTAAATATTAATAAAAATTTAAATTAATCTCTTTAATTTAAATAAAGTTATTGAATTTGTTTTCCTTCTATAAATTGAAACAAGAACAACTACTACTGCAAAAGCAACAACTGGTACTACAACACAAAGTGCAATTTTCCAAGATTCGAATTTTTTACCACAACTACCACTGATTGTAGGATTACCATTGATTAATACACCAAAATTTGGATCAATAATTACTGATTTTTTAAAATTAGAAATTAAAATCGCTGAATAAACATTTTGAATACTTTTTTTTTTATCTGAATCTTTTTTTGAATCATCTATCGATACCGATGGAATACCCTTTGACTCTTCCTCTGTTAAAACCTTTATATCACTTTTAATAACTCTATCATCAATTTTCATACGATTGCTGAATGTACCAACCAAAGTTTGACCATTAACAAGAGTTAGTTTGACTGATCTAATAGAATCACCATACATCTGAACACTTTGCTTGCCAGTTTGGTAACCACATTGTTCTGTTGAAATTTGAGTTTGGAATATTAATTGCAATGAATTTACCGAACTATGGAAATTCCAGTTACTAATTTCAACTTGGTACTTTACGGAATTTGGTAAAAGACTGATTTTATCTCCATAGAAATCATAAATCATTTCTTGATCTTCATTTGAATTAATTGTTAAAAGTACTTTAATTACTGCATTGTTACCTAATGTAGTATTGAATAGTTGCTCAGTGTTTTCATTTGCAATATTCTCTAATTTCCAAGTTGATGTGGTTAAATTATAAACCTTTATTACATTATTTATAATATCTATCTCTCTTATTTGTGCTAAACCAATGTCAAATTTAGAATCTTTAGTTTCAATAATGGATGTGATATTATCGATTATGGGTGGATTTATTTGGCCATTTTTTATTATGGAGCAGTCGAAACTAGAGTTCCCCTTTTTACTGTTACATTTTCTAGTTTCTTCAATACAAGTGCCATTTCCTGAACATACTTGACCATTAAAACTTTTACTTAAAACACATTCATCAATTGAATACATAAAAACATCACCACTACCAACTGAATTAGAATTAGGAATATTATTTGGGCAGGATACAGTAACTCTATGGGTTTTTGTTAAACCATCAACATCAGAGTTAAAACTGCATACTATTATACCTGAAATATATCTGTTGACTTTACTGTACAATCACTCCCACCAATTGTAACGTTTGGGTAAAAACAAAAAGATTCGCCTTTAATAGTAATATCCTTGGGTGTACCATAAAAAGATGGAGATGCACTTAAAACAGATGGTGGAAGATAAAGATCAATATAGTTCCATGTCAAAGCATTAATTATTTTTTTTTTTTGTAGTTCTTTTTGTTCTAAAAAAAAAAATAGTCAACAATGTATAATAGTGTGAAAACACAATTAAACAACAGTTAAATTACATTTATTAGAATATTACATAATTTTCGTTTTTTTTCCACCTGTTTTTTTTTTTTTTTTTCAAATTTTTTTTATTTTTTATTAAAAAATTTTTTTTTTTTTTTTTTTTAAAGATTATTAATAAACTGGTTTTTTAATTATTTTTATTTAAAAAAGCAGTATTTAATAAAACAGTATTTTATTAAATGAAATATATAAATTCAAAAAAAAAAAAAAAAAAAATTATGTGTCATTAAAACCGGTTTTTTTCATTTATTTTAATATAAAATAAAAGAATTTAATTAAATTTATTCAAAAAAAATAATTTTTTTTTTTTTTTATATGAATTTTTACAATTTTTTCGATTTTTAAATTTTTTTTATAAGAATTTTTACAATTTTTTCTCTATTTTTAGTTTTTTTTTTGATTTTCTATAGCCTCTGTAGTTTTAAAAAAAGTCAAAATAGGCGCACTGTGGGGGGGATGGTTGGGCCGGACTATTTTTTTTTTTTTTTATAGCCGGACTATGACTATGTAGAGACCCTACTTGTTTTTGAAAATTATTAAAATTAAATATGAAGAATGAAAAATTTTTAAATATTTGAAATAAATAAGCCTCTTTCTTACTTTATTACAAAAACCTTAATTAATTGTTGTTTCTTAGTTTTTATAAAATAAAATTTTTTTAAAATATATAAATCTTTTTTTTTTTTGAAAGGGAAATGAAATTTTTTTAAATAATAATTAGATATAAAGATTTTATATTCAAATTAAAGATCAACAATTGATTTGTATAGGTTTTTTGTTATAAATAAATAACATTTACACACTAAATACCTTATGCATCCTTTTTTTTTTAAAAATTTTTTTTTTTCTTACATTTGATTTACTGAACATTCGGATTGAGAACATTTAAGTATCTTATGGCCATTGATTATCTATTATATATAAATCGGGGCTTAAAGGTTGTATTTCATCAATTGAAATTTTGAATTTTCAGTTTTACTCCCTAATCATATTTGGTGAATAATATTAGAAATTCTCATGACAATTTTCGTGAACTTTCTCAGGTACCTGTAACGTATCTGCATAGTAACCCAGATTTGGTTGTGTATCATTTATTATTATATCAATATAGAGATTAGAATATAATCCCTATGAAAGATGATCTTAATTTTTAGGAACATAATACAAAATTTTCCCCAAAACATTACATTATCTCCACCTTTTCTAACACTTGTTTAAGTATTTGAATCTAGTAAAACATAAGATTCATAGACCCATGATCTTATATAATGGTATTTATCAAATTATTGAAACCTAACTTCATCCATAAACATATGATTTTCCCGTTGGTCTAAATTCCAGTTTTTATGTCAAATCCAAAACTATATCTTTTTCTTCTTTTAACTTCGGATAATCGAGGTTTCATGAATTTCTTTTTATAAACAATGTTATTCCTATGCAATACGTTTCTAACTAACCAGTCTAATCTGGTGTGGCCATTTGTTGAATAATACCAAACCACTGTTAATTTCACATTCTTCAGCTCTCCATTCAAAAATTTGAAACAAAATAAACGTTCATCTCTTTCATGAATCTTTTTTCTCTTCCAAAACGTTGGTGGTCATTGATTGAACCTGTTTGTTCATATCTTTGAATTATTTTTGCCACTTTTGTTTTGTGGACACCCAATTTTTTTGTAATTTTACTATTTGAGTAATGGTCTCTGATTTTGTATGATAATATTGAGTATCGAAGTTCATCACTTAACCTCATTTTGTTTATTTTCTAGAAATTATTTTTGCACTATTTTCAGTTTGTAAAAATTTAAAATGATATAAAAAAAATTTTAAAATTTCAAAAATTAAAAAAAAAGAGATAAAAATATAAATTTATTTTTTTAATTTTTTTTTTTTTACCCATATTTCCCACACTTTTTTTATTACCATTATTTATTAATTTTCCTCGGGCACTGTAATAATAAAAAACGAACTTTTTCTTCTTCAACAATACCTGGGCACATTCCTATTTCTTTTGGTTTACCAGAGGTGGGTGGACATTTATAGAAAGTGAAGATAAACTCTTTAAAATTTTCTTTGGTAGAATGTGTGATTAACGATAACATCTCTGCTGAGGTAAATAAATCACAAGCTTTAAATGAGTGGTTATATGTAATGGCTGATTTTAACTTGTTTATTGTATCATCCAAAGAACTATTAAAATCAACTCTTTCTTTGTCTAAAGTTTGAGTAAGATGTTTTTTTTTTTTTGTAGTATTAATATTTCATTTTTATTTTGTTAGTCTAATTTTTGATATTTTAGTATTGTTTGGTATTGTTCCGATTTCTCTTTTTGTAGTTGTTGTAGTTGTTGGTTTTTTTCTTTTAATGTCTGTTGATGTTGTTCCGATTGCTTTTGATGAAGTTGTTGTAGTTGTTGTAATTGTTGTAATATTTGGTCTTTTTCTTTTAGTAATTGTTGATGTTGTTGGTCCTTTTCTTTTAGTTTTTGTTCAAATTGTTGGTCTTTTTCTATTAATGTTTGTTGATTTTGCTGTAATTGTAATTCTTGTTGTTTTTGTAATTCGAATATTTCTATCGAATCTTGTTGTGATTCAAAAGGCCAAATATCACATAAAGTAAACATCACAACAATTAATACAAATTATTATCACAATTTATATATTATACCTTTTTATCATACTTTTAATTTTTTTACAAACTGAATCTTTGATCTTGCTATAGACTTGATTTTTTGCAATAAATTTAAATTTTTTTATCAACCAAATATAATTTTATCTTATGTATTAAAACTATCACAATTAAAAAAAATTTATTAAAAGAAAAAACTAAAACAAGAGTTTAATAATAAAACAATTAAAAAGAGTATAATAATAAAAAATAAAAATAAAAATAATAACATTAATAGCAAACATTCTTTTATTAGTTTTTAATAAATTTTATTTATTTTTTTAAAAAAAAAAAAAAATTGATAGAGGATTCATATAATTACGTATCTTCTATTTTATTATTTTCAAGGGAGAGATCACCATTTTTATCTTTTTGGACCACATCTATTTGAGATTCCTTTTTTTCAGAGCTTATAAATAAATGAACATCTTCACCACTCAAAATCTTTTGATCTTGGGGTTTTTGGCTTGGGTCACAATCAAATTGTTGTTGCTGAAAAACATTGGGCCCTTGACAACCATCCATTAATTTTTTCAATTCTTGGTTCATTTTTTCAATTATTTTATCTATTTCTTTTCTTTCCCAATATTCCATGAATAAATCATAAATAATTATTTTATATTTTTTTATCCCTTTTAAAAAATTATTTTCAATTAAAATTTTTTTTTTTTATTTTTATATTAAAATTTTTTTTTTTTTTGATTAAAAAAATTCAACTTTTTTTTTTTTAAATCAATGTTTTAAAACGTTTGTATCTCTTTTTTAAAAAACCAATTTCTAAAAATACACTATATTGAAATTTTAAAAATAGAATAAATAAAAAAAAAATTTGGTGAATTATATTGAAGTATTGGAGTGTGTTGTGGGTGGACAGGTATGAATAAATTCATGTTTAGTGTTTATTTTATTTTTATATAAACCTTTAATACATAGAGAAATATAAAGATTGTTTTTTTTTGTTTTATTTTTTTTGTTTTAAATTTTATAAAGAAAAATATGAATATGAAACTAAAAATTAAATCTATATATAGACTCAAATTTATTTTTGTATTATTTTATTGATTGATTTAGGTAAATCTGAAATTGGAAATTCATAATTTTTCCCAATTATTAAAGTATTAAGAGATTTTGGTAAAACAATTGGAATAAAATGGAGTCGCTATTAAAGCAATATCCAAACTCTAGATAATGTAAATTTTGTGGGAGTGTATTGGGCAGTATAGGTTGATCAAAGCAATAACCTAACTCGAGTTTTGTTAATGAGTCTGGCAAACCTTTAAGTGCTTGGTTGAATATATAGTTGAATTTAATATGCTCTACACCTTTTGGAATGTTTGTTTCTTCTAATTTTAAATTGTAATGGAACCCAAATGTAATACTTTTTAATGAGTTTGGTAACGAACCTGGGAGTATTTTGTTATTAAATCTTGACCCAAAAACAATCGTCTTTAAATTCGATGTCTTAATATCTTTAAAAAAACTACCATCAATAGGTTGGTTGTATGAATTTGAAAACTCTAAATACTCTACTGATGACGGAATGCAATTGGGTGGTATTTTTTCATTTTTGAAATTATCAAAAACAAGATGCTTAACTGAATTAGGAATTGAGTCGATAGTTAAGTATTCAATACTTGTGTTTATTGCTAAAACAGTTACAGATGGAGGAATTACATTGGGTTTATGAGGTTGGTCAAAACCCACCTCAAGATTTGTGACGGATGGAGGAATTGATCCATATTCAAGTGGATGACAAATATTGGTAATTAGCAATGTATGAACTGATGGGGGAATAACATTGACATCATATCTTTGCGTACTATTATATGAAATGAAATGCAATATTTCTACTGAATTTGGTATTATATATGGCACAATTTGAACATCGTTGTTATTAAATTGATTCCTAAAAGTTAGTTTCTTTACTCGGTTTGGAATTGAACCTGGTTCTAAACCACAATTACTTCCTATTGAGAGATGGGTAATCGATTTCGGTAGTACACCACTTTTTATCAACTTTGAACTTATTTCTAATTTTAATTTCTCTACAGTTGGAGGAATACACCACGAGTCTAATTCAGTAACATCTTTATAATAATAACCTGTATTGCTTTCATTGAATTGACTCTTTAATTGAATGTTGTTTTTAAAATCGTTATCTGAAACCAGATTCATCGAAATTAAATGAACATCTAATAAAAAATCTTTATATTTAAAATTGCATAATGTATTTAAATTAAATACAAAATTTGAATTACTTGAATAATTATATACCAATCTAAATAGTTTTAATCTTTTTAATATTTCTGATTTAATATAAAAATTTCTCCATATCTTTTTTAAAAACAAATCACCATTACTACAATCTTTATTTTTATTTGTATTATTATTATTTTTATTATTTTCTTGATTTATTATTTTAAATAAATAATTTTCATTATTAAAAAAAATCATTATTTAAAATTGTAAAATGATTAAATTTTTATTTATATATTTATTTATATTATTTTAAAATTTTTTTTTTTATTTATATATTTATTTATATGATTATATTTTTATTAATATGATTTATATTTGTTTTTATATTATGATTAAAAAAAAAAAAAAAAAAAGTGGTTGTAAAAAAACAAATAATTTTTAATTTTTTTAAAAAAATTAAAAAAATAAATATAAAAAGGTTTTTATATTATGATTAAAAAAAAAAAAAAAAAGTGGTGATAAGGGGGTAAAACACAGATGTGAATGTGATGAGTTTGAATGATTAAAATTTGTATTTATTTTTAATTATTAATTTATAATAAAAGGTTCGATTTTTTTTTTTTTTTTTAATATTTTCTACCAAAGAAACTGGATAATTTCATTTTTAAGAGAGCAGATCCTTGTTTGTGTTTTATTAAAAGGACTGTGGTTACTATTAAAGCAACCCCTACAACTGGTACAACGATGGCTACTGGTAAAATATAACTTTTAGATTTGCATGAAGATTTGTAATCTGATGATAATAATACAGAGAAATCTATAAAATTTAAAAAATTATTAATATTTTGAATTTTAAAACTATTTAATTTTAAAAAAAAAAAAAACTTACCTGGATCAATGATACAGTTTATGCAATGTGGTAAATTTAAACTTAAAGTTAATGATGAGCTGGATTGATGAATAATTTTAGTGTTCATAAAATTGGGTCTATCATCTGAAAGAATGTGGTCAATGATTCTTGAATACAACTTCTTTCCATCCTTTTTGATGGTTATGAAATTGGTGTTGTTGGAGTCGATATTTACTGATTTATCATTACATTCATTGTTATTTTCATTGGTGTTATCGAGTAAACTTACTGATGATTCTAAAATTAATTGCAATGTGTTTAATGTGCTTTGGTACTTGTAATTGGTAATTTCTACTCTAGTTTTAACAGAGTCTTTTTCTAATGTAAAATCTACACCGGCAAAGGACATTGGTTTTCTCGAGTCTGATTTTTCTACATAGTATACAATGGATGAATTGTCAAATAAAACTTGAGAGAATTTCCAAGTATTTTGATTTTCATTCTTTTCAGTATCCCAGTTGGTTTTTAGTGAAAAATTTCTTACTACATTACCAATTAAGTCAGTTTCGAGTAATCGGACAATAGAGATATCGAAATTGGTTTTTTGATTATTGATTGAGATGGAACCTGAATCCTCACCTACTGTTAGATTTGATTTTGGTAATTCATTATCATCGGTAGTTTTTGAAGCACAATCAAATCCGAAATAACCATCATAACATTGGCATTCACCTTTAGAACATACACCATTTTTTGAGCAACCATTTGGACATGGCTTTGTTTGCAATGGATATGAATAATAGTCTTTGCCGATCCACACCTTTTGATTCTGAGTGATGTTTAATGAAACTATACCTGAACCGCCATAATTAAATGTACAGATAATGGTTGTACTATTATTTTCTTGGGGATCACATTTTTTATCACCAATGGCAATAGACAAACCCTGATGGGTATCACCAAACCAACCTTTAATGGTAGCAATACTTTTATTATCGGTATCTGGTTTAGCAATGTAAATGGATGAAGCATAGTGGTCATTTGTCGATACTGGATCTAACATTATGCCAGAGACTTGATCTACCATTTTAACAAATACTGTTAAATTTCTGCTAAGACCATCATAGTTGGCAACATGGCAATTAATTTGAGAAAATGTTGATGTTTGAATATTACAATCATTACCACCAATTTGAACATAGAGAGCACTTCTATTGTTTGAAAAATATCTTCCTTGCAATGTGAATGATCCTTCATTATCGTTGTTTATAATATTTTCAATCTCAGGAGCAATTTGATTATTAACTACAACATCAATATATATGGGTGGTACAGTGTTTATATAATTTATGGTAAAGGATGTATAATTGCTTAAAGTTGTTTGGAATTGAATTAAATTATTTGGAAGAATAGAAATTGATTTTGAAATTGCGACACTAGAGCCATCTGAATAAACTTTGAAATTTGATGCACTGAATCCAATATCCTCACCATATAAAATATAATTTCCTCCACCTAAAGTTTCGGCATTTAAAATTATCGTGGTGCAAGGTGGTTTTGGTGATACATTGGTAAAATTGTTAAACATTAAACTTAAATCACCTAAAATGTCGGAATGGCAAGTAAAACATGATGGAACTTCACCACTGAAACTATTGTTCATAAAAAAAAAATTTTCGATCATACAATATGATTTATCTATGGTTCCAGTTAATTGATTATGAATCAAACTCCTACATTTTATAAAATAAAATTTTTGTTAATTTTTATTAAATATTTTCAAATAATAATAATTTTATACTAAATTCACTTACAATGTTTTTAATCCATATTCTTTTTTATATACTGGGAGTCCACCAGTCATTAAATTATCTGCTAAAATGATTTTGGTAATGTTTGAACCAAATGAGTCATATGGCGGAATATTTTTAATATTTCCATTTGAAAATGAAAAAGATGAATATCTTGATGGGAAGTCGGTAAATGGAACTTTTTGGTCAATATGAAAATCTCTTCCCACAAGAGAAAAAGAAATTTCGGATGCACTTTGGAAACTAGCTAAACTAATTAAACTATTTGGTTTAAGAAATTTTGAACCTAAAGAGAAACTATTAAAAACGTTATTAGATGGAAATTCTGGAAATGCCAATAACGGTGATGAGTAACTTGTTATCGAGAGAGATTTAATATTTGTATATGTTGATAATTTAGAAAAGGAGTCAACTTGGAAATTTGGATATAAATAAAGTGTACTAAAAATAATTAAATTATTAATAAAAGATACAAAAAAAACAAAAACAATATTAATAACATTACCATGAATTTAAAGTAAATCTACTTAAATCTGGAAGAACAGAAACAGGTGAAATAAAAATTTTGGTTTTTGGATCAGTTGAGACATCATTGGTATACTCTATGAAATCTATATCAGAGCTACCAAATTCTCTTTGATCTAATTGTAAAATAATAAAACTATTTAAAAATAATAAAAAAAAAAATAAAGTGTTAAAAAAAAATTTTAAAAAAAAAAATTAAATGGATTGTACTTACAAATTATTAACTTGTGCAACTTGTGATAAAGAATATGTTTTGCTAATATTTGGATATAGAGCTCCGATATAAAATTGATTAAAATTTTTGAAAGTACCAGTCCCAAAGTTTAAAATTGTTGGACTGTCAAGTGATGAAAATGATATGGATCGGCCAGTAGTAAAAGCATTATTTATGAAATTATCCTCAAATCTTAGTTTTTCAAATGAAAAACTATAAATATTACTAAAACAGCTAAAATCTGAACTGGTTAATGGTAAATCTGGAACAGTTGAAAGTTTTAATATAATTGAAGTAACTTGCTGGTATACACAGTTGAAAGAAGCTTTTTGATAGGACAATGAGGTGCAAAAATCATATTTTCCCGTTACGTTATCATATTTAAAATAATTTAATTTATCCTCATGTACTGGGAAATATCGGTTAATAATATTATATGCACAATTATCTTTTAATAATTTTTAAAAAAAAAAAATGGTTAGAATATTTTTAAAATAAAAAAAAAAAAATTAAAAAAAAAAAAATGTGGAGAATAGGAAAATAGACATACATTCGGTTTCATTTAAAACTTCACCATTTGAAAATAAAATATTATTATTACTATATATTACAAAAACAAAAAACAATAATAAAGTGTAAGATAGAGAACCCATCTTAACTTTTTATTTTTGTGTGTGTGTTGGAAATGAAAATATTATAAAAATAAAAAAATAAAAATAAAAAATAAATTTTATAAAAAAATTTAAAAAAATTAAAAAAATTAAAAAAATTAAAAAATTTTTAAAAAATAACTTTCAACTTAATGTTTGCAACCATTAAAACCTGCTCCTGGTTTCCCAAAGATCCGAATATCTCAAAAAATAATTTAAAAAAAAAAAAATAAAAAATAAAAAAAAAAGGGTAAAACAAATTTATATCTATATAGTAACCAAAAACTAAAAAGAGTGAAACAAAAATAAAAAAGAGTTAAACAAAATGGGTAAAAATTTTAATACTTAGCATTCCTAAATCTTAAAGCAAATTTTTATAAAAAAAAAAAAAATTAAAAAAATTTAAAAAATAAAAAAAATAAAAAAATTAAAAAAATTGAAAATTTTTTTATTTTTACACCACTTCATTTTTCCACTAAATCTAATTAAGTTTTTTTATAACAATGGTTGGGTTTATAAAAATTAAAAATTATTCAGTCAATAAATATATTTCATATACTATAAATATAGTTGTAATAATTTTTATATTATTATCAATTTTTATAACCCCAGAACCATTAAAAAAAAACAATGTAGAGAATCTTTCGAATAGATTAAAAGATATTTCATTTCTTGACTTATCACCAGATATCAATCATGGATACACAATGTTATCAAAATTAATACCAAAAGTATCAGATTCTTTAAATGGATTGTATTCTCATACTATTAAAGACCAAATTATTTCAGAGAGTAAGTAAATCTTTAGAAATAAAAAAATAAAATCTAACAATTATTAATAAAATTTCTTTTGACTATAGTTGAAAAATTAGATGCATTAATTGAAAAATCTATTGATAAATCCGATATCAAAAGAAAAAAATTTTTGAAAAATTTAAAAAAACCTATTTTAACAATAAAAGATTCTTTGGTTGGATATCAGCTTCAAAACATCGAGTATATGAAAGAAAGGTTTCATAAAGGTGTTGAAAAAGCTTTAAAGGAAATACCAAAAAGGGAAAATCTTATTGAAAAACTCTATAACGAAATTCCTCAAAGTATTCATTTCTTATTATGTAGCATTGGTATAAAATTATTTTTTTCTGTTATTTTTATCGTGGTGGCTTTCCAGTTGGCAATTACAATTGTAGATAATGATTACCCAAATATAAAATACCTTTATCTTACTTTTTGTATAGTGTATTTTATTATTTCAATACAACTCAACCACAGATCAGCTATTTTATTTCAATTTTCATCTGGGATGTTACCACTCTTCTATTTTAGATTTAAAAACAATAAAAAAATACTAGGTATACTTGCTGTTATCACTGCTCTCCTTTTAAATTTTTATAAATTAGATCTCTTTGAAAAATGGTATGATAGTTTAACTTACAAAGAAGATTTAACCAAAGCCACTGTTTGTCCAATAGTGTCATTCCAACTATTGAAGTTTCATAATGATAAATTTTATGTTCCAGAATTCACTTCCAACTTGTTGAAAGATTTAACATCACCGCTTTATATCCATTCGGAAATTGGTAGCTATATTTACAAAACTACAAGATCAAGTTTATATACAATAATGTTGCTAAAAGAAGAGATTAAAAACAGTTGCGATATTAACTTTTCTCCAATGAATCCTTTTGCATCAAATATATTGGGCACGGATTATAGATTGACACATGGAATTTGGGCCTATCAGGTTAAAATATCAGATATTAATTTAGAAAACCTATCGTCAGATTTAAAAATTTCTTTAGAACGACTAAATCCCGATGGTACAATAATATTTCTGGATAGTGAAAACTATGATGATAAAGCGAACCAAGAAGACATGGTAATTATCGAAGATATTTTAATATCAATTGTATCCTCGTTTTCATATTCAGAGTATTTCCGATATCCTCAAGATTTAAACACTTTTTTTGGTATAAAACCATCTCCAATAGAAAAATTATATGCACTTGTCAATGGAAAATTTAGTTCCCCTTTAATATTTTCGTCAGATTCTTTCGAAAGGAATCTTTGGCTATATTCCATAGCTAAAGGTGAAATAGATCTTGAACCCTTTGAAATATTCTATTCCAATTTAAATGAAGATAAAACTGGAGAATACGACAAAAATGTTAAAATAATCAAAAATGATTGGGGTAAAAACATCAACTCTTCAGTAATATTACCTGCAACCTCAGAAGAATTCAAACTATTCCAAAAACTTCCCTTTTCTTCCACTATACCCGAACTTAGTATAACCTACTCCAACTCAAATCATACCTTACCCAAGGTTATAAATAACCTATCAATTAAATTTTACAAAGAAAAAGAACTCAATGGATCCGATATTTTAAACATCATAAATGATACTTTGGAATTTTTCCAAAAAAAATAAAATAAATGTCATAATTATATTTTTTAAAAAAAAAAACAAATTCTTTTTTACTTTAATTTTTTTATATAAATTTTTTTATTTTTTTAAAGCAAAAAAAAAATTTGGGAGATTATAATGGTGCAATAATAAAATAATTATGTAACCCTTAAAATTTTTTATTAATAAAATGATAAAAAAAAATGGGTAATAAAAATTTAAAAAAATTAATGAATTCATTAGATTTTAATTTGTGTGAACCTTTGCTCCATTTAAGTTGAATGGGAAAGCCAAAAATACTTGGTTAAAGATTAATACAAAAAAAATTATAGATAAATAACTGATTAATATTTTGAATACCTTTCTTATGATACTGATGGAATATCCGTTGACTCTTCCCCTGTATAAATATACATGTTGCATTATACTATTGATAACCTAAATTAGTCCCTTTCTTGTTTCTCATAAAGTTTTATTACAAAAAACCTTATTAATTTTTGTTTTCTCATAGTTATATTTACAAAAACTATATATTTTTATATTATTATTTAAATCATTTATTTTAAAAAAAAAAAAAAAAAATTTTCTAAAAAAAAAATTTCGTTTTTTTTTTTTTTTTTTTTTGTAATTATGGTTGGAAACATAAAAAATAAAAATAATAATTATTTAATCAATAAATATATTTCAAATACTATATATATATTTTTTATATTTATATCTATAGTTTTGATTTTTTTAGTATTATCAATTTTAATAACAGAATCATTAAAAATAAAAAATGTAGAGAATCTTTCAAATAAATTAAAAGATATTTCATTTCTTTATAACTCACAAAATATCACGGACAAATTCACAGTGTTATCACAATTAATACCAAAAGTATCAGATTCTTTTGATTCTTTAGATGGATTCTATTCTCACACGAATACTATTAAAGACCAAATTATTTCAGAGAGTAAGTAAATCTTTAGAAATAAAAAAATAAAATCAAACAATTATTAATAAAATTTCTTTTGACTATAGTTAAAACATTAGATGCATTAATTGAAGAATCTATTGATAAATCCGAGATCAAAAGAAAAAAAATTTTGAAAAATTTAAAAAAACCTATTTTAACAATAAAAGATTCTTTGGTTGGATATCAGCTTCAAAACATCGAGTATATGAAAGAAAGGTTTCATAAAGGTGTTGAAAAAGCTTTAAAGGAAATACCAAAAAGGGAAAATCTTATTGACAAACTCTATAACGAAATTACTCAAGGTATTAATTTCTTATTATGTAGCATTGGTATAAAATTATTTTTCTCAGCTATTTTTATCGTGGTGGCTTACCAGTTAGCAAATGCAATTAAAGATAATGATCGCCCAAATATAAAATTCTTTTATCTTATTGTTTGTGTAATGTATTTTACTATTTCAATTCAACTCAACGACAGACCAACTATTTTATTCCTATTTTTATCTGGGATGTTACCACTCATCTATTTTATATTTAAAAACAACAAAATAATATTAGGTATACTTGTTGTTATCACCGCTCTCCTTTTAAATTTTTATAAATTAGATCTCTTCGAAAAATGGTATGATAGTTTAACTTACAAAGAAGATTTACCCAAAGCCACTGTTTGTCCAATAGTGTCATTCCAACTATTGAAGTTTCATAATGATAAATTTTATGTTCCAGAATTCACTGCCAACGTGTTGAAAGATTTAACATCACCACTTTATATCCATTCGGAAATTGGTAGATATATTTACAAAACTACAAGATCAAGTTTATATACAATAATGTTGCTAAAAGAAGAGATTAAAAACAGTTGCGATATTAACTTTTCTCCAACGAATCCTTTAACACCAAATAAACTTGGAGATGGCTATAGATTGACACATGGAATTTGGGCCTATCAGGTTAAAATATCAGATATTAATTTAGAAAACCTATCGTCAGATTTAAAAATTTCTTTAGAACGACTAAATCCCAATGGTACAATAATATTTCTGGATAGTGAAAACTATGATGCAAAAGCGAACGGACAAGATATAATAATTATCGAAAATATTTTAATATCAATTGTATCCTCGTTTTCATATTCAGAGTATTTCCGATATCCTCAAGATTTAAACACTTTTTTTGGTCTTAAACCATCTTTAATAGAAAAATTATTTGGACGTGTATATAATTTTAAAGAATTTAAATCCTCTTCATTTTTTTTATCATTTCATTCCGAAAATTTACTAAGGTTTTATTCCAAAGTTAAAGATGAAATAGATTTCGAACCATTTGAAATATTCTATTCCAATTTAAATGAAGATAAAACTGGAGAATACGACGAAATTGATAAAACAATCAAAATTTTTTGTGGTAAAAACATCAACTCTTCAGTAATATTACCTGCAACCTCAGAAGAATTCAAACTATTCCAAAAACTTCCCTATGCTTCCACTATACCAGAACTTAGTATAACCTACTCCAACTCAAATCATACCTTACCCAAGGTTATAAATAACCTATCAATTAAAGAACTCAATGGATCCGATATTCTAAACATCATAAATAATACTTTGAAACGTTATCTAAAATAATAAAATAAATAATAATTATATCTTTTAAATATTTTTTTTATTTTATTATGATACTAATTTATTTTTTTGATGTCTAATAGTTTTTTTTTGAAATTTTTTTTGTATTATGCCATCAGTTCAACGTGCGGTTTATTTATTTTTGGTTTTATTTAAATTTGTATGGAAATAAAAAGAATTAGTATGCCTCACCTGTTCAGAGTTTGAGAATCAGCTGAGAGCACTATGCCCCGAAACTGCTAATCATTGTCTTTACAAAATGAAACTAGAATACTGCTCCAACTATCCTGATATACCAAAACAATTTACTTGGAAATCATTAATACAAACACCAAGAGTTCAATCGGATAGGGATTTTGATAATAAATTTACAAACGATTGAGTTTCATTTTCCTAACCCAGTAAAATATATCTATTCTTTAATTGATTCGAAATGATATCAAGAATCATTAAATATAATTCATATTTTATTTCTTTAACTAAGCGCTCTAATAAAGCATTCCAAATATTAATATTTGAAAAATAACCACCATATTTTGGGTTTTAATGGTCCTATATCTCCTGAACCCCATTCTTTTATTATTTATTCAATTAAAACATGTTGTTTAATAGATTTTATGTGAACAAATTTTACAATGATCTTCAAAAGACATATTTGAATATAAACGAAATAGATATTTTATTAAAAAGAGAAGCAATTATTTAAATTTAATCTTTTTTTTATTATAATCAAATTTATAATTTATTTTTTATAATAAAAAAAAGATTAAATTTATTTTATTTTATAAAAATTAAAAAAATATTTTTTTAAAATCAATTAAAAATATCATTTTGGGAATTAAAAAAAAAAAAAAAAATTTTTTTTTTTTTTTGAAATTTTTTTTTTGAACATAAGCGGAATTCATTATAGTTATGGTTGGGTTCGCAAAAAATAAAAATAATTATTCAATCAATAAATATATTTCAAATGCTATAAATATAGTTATAATAATTTTTTTAGTATTATCAATTTTTATAACCCCAGAATCATTAAAAAAAAACAATGTAGAGAATCTTTCAAATAAATTAAAATATATTTCATTTCTTAATTTATCACCAGATATCCACCACAAATTCACAGAGTTATCACAATTAATATCAGACTCTTTAGATGGATTCTATTCTCACACTATTAAAGATAAAATTATTTCAGAGAGTAAGTAAATCTTTAGAAATAAAAGAATAAAATCAAACAATTATTAATAAAATTTCTTTTAACTATAGTTGAAAAATTAGATGCATTAATTGAAGAATCTATTGATAAATCCGATATCGAAAGAAAAATTTTGGAAGATTTAAAAAAACTTATTTTAACAATAAAAGATTCTTTGGTTGGATATCAGCTTCAAAACATCGAGTATATGAAAGAAAGGTTTCATAAAGGTGTTGAAAAAGCTTTAAAGGAAATACCAAAAAGGGAAAATCTTATTGAAAAACTCTATAACGAAATTCCTCAAAGTATTCATTTCTTATTATGTAGCATTGGTATAAAATTATTTTTCTCTGTTATTTTTATCGTGGTGGCTTTCCAGTTGGCAATTACAATTGAAGATAATGATTACACAAATATAAAATACTTTTATCTTACTTTTTATTTTATTGTTTGTGTAGTGTATTTTACTATTTCAATACACCTCAACGACAGGCCAACTATTTTATTCCTATTTTCATCTGGGATGTTACCACTCATCTATTTTAGATTTAAAAACATCAAAATAATACTAGGTATACTTGTTATTCCCGCTATCCTTTTATATTGCAAACCAGATCTCCTCGAAAAATGGTATGATAGTTTAACTTACAAAGAAGATTTACCCAAAGCCACTGTTTGTCCAATAGTGTCATTCCAACTATTGAAGTTTCATAATGATAAATTTTATGTTCCAGAATTCACTTCCAACTTGTTGAAAGATTTAACATCACCGCTTTATATCCATTCGGAAATTGGTAGCTATATTTACAAATCTACAAGATCAAGTTTATATACAATAATGTTGCTAAAAGAAGAGATTAAAAACAGTTGCGATATAAACTTTTCTCCAACGAATCCTTTAACACCAAATAAATTTAGATGGGGCTATAGATTGACACATGGAATTTGGGCCTATCAGGTTAAAATATCAGATATTAATTTAGAAAACCTATCGTCAGATTTAAAAATTTCCATAGAACGACTAAATCCCAATGGTACAATAATATTTCTGGATAGTGAAAACTATAATGAAAAAGCGAACGGACAAGATATAATAATTATCGAAAATATTTTAATATCAATTGTAACCTCGTTTTCATATTCAGAGTATTTCCGATATCCTCAAGATTTAAACACTTTTTTTAGTCTTAAACCATCTTTAATAGAAAAACTATTTGGAAGTGTATATAAATTTAAAGAATTTGGATCCCCTTCAATTTTTTTATCATTTCATTCCGAAAATTTACTAAGCTTTTATTCCGAAGAATTCAAACTATTCCAAAAATTTCCCTTTTCTTCCACTATACCAGAACTTAGTATAACCTACTCCAACTCAAATCATACCTTACCCAAGGTTATAAACAACCTATCAATTAAATTTTACAAAGATAAAGAACGCAATGGATCTGATATTTTAAACATCATAAATAATACTTTGGAATATTATCAATGGATCTAAAATATAAGCATAAACACATATAATAATTTTTTCTTTTTCGTCCTTTTTTTAAATAAAAAAATTAATATTATTTTATAAATAAATATAGAAAAATATAAATGCAACTAATGCATTTAAAAGTTTTTATTAAAATAGGGTGGATTACTTTTAACTATTTGTGGATATGAATTTATGATATTTGTTTTTGGTCGCCATAGTATTAGATGTTTCAGACAAAGTATTTTCTTATTATTTAAACCTCAATTTTATTTTTTTATATCAAAGTAAATTTTAAAAGGAATCTATATATTTCGATTATGTTAAAGAACCCTCAACACTATTTCTTTAATTTTCGATTTAGTAAGTGATTATCGTTTATTCCACTTGGTTCATATCATCACAATATAGGATTTAGACCAGGAATCTTCATCATTCAAGAACTAACATTAAAAAGGTTTGAAATCTCAAACCAGACCAACTTGCAATGGCTTTAGAAAGTTACGACACAACTCATTAAAAGAAGAGAATAAACCAGTACTTAGCAGATCCTGATTTGTTTCATACCTAGATATGGTTTACAAAGTTTAAAAAGTACAAAGTTTCTATAAAAAAGAATTATAATCCAGACTTTACTTTTAATTGTTTATTTTTTATTTTTTTTTTATATAATATAAATGAGATAGGGTAATAGTGTGAGGTTGGTACTGGAATTGGGCGGATCTATCAAGTTTCACTATATTAATTAAGAGAATTTCTTATTGAAGGAGTAATTAATTTTTTCATTTGAATTTATTTCTTTTTCCAATTACTTGTTGTGATCCTTAAAAGTAAAATAATAATTGTGTATAATATATTTTTCTATTCTTTTGATTAAATTTTTTTTTTTTTTTTAAAAGTATTTCAGCTTTTCCCAAATACAAATTAAATATTTCGACATATCTGATGATGAAATTTCCACCATAATAATTAAAAAAAAAAAAAAAAAAAAAAATATTTTTATTTAATTTTTTTATTTAATTTTTTTTTAATTTTTTTTTTTTTTTTTTTTTGATTTTTTTTTTTTTTTTTGATTTTTTTTTTTTAACTAACGACAAAGGGGCAATTGTGGTTGTAATATTTATTGTATTTTAATTAAAATAGTGTATATTATAATAATTTAATGCAAATTAAATCCACTAACGATAATACAATGGAAAAAAAAGAATTCCCACAAAATCAAGTTGATTTATACCAACAAATTAAATGGAATGGTTGGGGTGATACCAGAAAATTCCTTCACCAAGTTAAACCAGAAGGTTTCGTTGCTTTAACTACACCATCAGTTTCAGCACAACCATTACCATCACTTAAAGGATTCATCAAAAAAGAACTTAGTCTTCCAACTGATGACCCAAACAAACCATTCGAATTAGAAGAAACTCCATCACTTAGAATTGAAGATATTAAAATTCATGCACCAAAACAATATCCAGAATTTGTTAAAGAATTAAAAGCTTTCTTTTCAGCAGATCAATTAAAAGATGATAAATTAGCACGTATTACACACACTTTTGGTAAATCAATTAGAGATTTAATCAGAGTTAGAATGTATGTTTAAATAATATAAATAATAATAATAGTAATAGTAGTAATAATAATAATAATAATAATAATAATAATAATAATAATAATAATAATAATAAATAATATAGATAATAGTTTATTAAGTTTTAACTATAATAATTTTTAATATATTTTATTAATTAAAAAAAAAATTTTATTTATTATTTTAATTTAGCGGTTTAATTAAATATGCACCAGATTTAATTGTTTTACCACATAGCCATGAAGAAGTTGAAAAATTAGTTCAATTAGCTCAAAAATGGAATGTTGTTATTATTCCAATGGGTGGTGGTTCAAATATTGTTGGTGCAATTGAACCAGTTTCAGATGATAGATTTACTGTTTCAATTGATATGAGAAGAATGAATAAAGTTTTATGGGTAGATCGTAAAGAAATGACAGCTTGTATTCAAGTTGGTGTTATGGGTCCACATTTAGAAGAACAATTAAATAAACAAGGTGTTAGTTTAGGTCATGATCCAGATTCATTCGAATTTTCAACTTTAGGTGGTTGGTTAGCTACATGCTCATCAGGTCATCAATCAGATAAATATGGTGATATCGAAGATATGGCTGTTTCATTCAGAACTGTCACACCAACTGGCACATTAGAATTAAGAAATGGTGCTCGTGCTGGTGCTGGTATTAACTATAAACATATTATTCTTGGTTCTGAAGGTACTCTTGGTATCATTACAGAAGCCGTTATGAAAGTTCATGCTGTTCCACAAGCCGCTGAATACTATGGTTTCCTTTTCCCATCATTTAACCATGCCGTTGCTGCTCTTCAACAAATTCGTTCAAGTGAAATTATTCCAACTATGATTCGTATTTACGATCCTGAAGAAACTGCTCTCTCATTCGCCTCAAAACCAAGCAAAGGTCCAATCGCTGAATTTATGTCAGCTGCTGTTAAGAAATATCTTCACTATGTTCGTTCATTTGATTTCAAGAGTGTTTGTCTTTCAATTATTGGTTTTGAAGGTCCAAAGAAAGTTGTAGATTTCCACAGAAATAGTGTTTTCGACATTCTTTCAAAGAATGGTGCTTTTGGCCTTGGTTCAGCTCCAGGTAAAACATGGGCCGAAAAGAGATACGATCTTCCATACATTCGTGATTTCCTTTTAGATCACAATATGTGGGTCGATGTCGCTGAAACCACTGTTAGTTATACCAATCTTGTTCCACTTTGGAAAGAAGCCAAACAAGCTTTCCAACAACATTTTAGATCACAAGGTATCCCATCATGGATTTGTGCCCATATTTCCCACACTTATTCAAATGGTGTTTGTCTTTATTTCATCTTTGCTTCTAAACAAAACTCTGATAAAGATATGAAACAATACATCGAAGCTAAAGGTTTAATGACCGATATTATTCTCAAATATGGTGGTGCTTTATCTCATCATCACGCTGTTGGTTATGAACATGTACCATGGATGACCCGTTATGTTTCAAAAGGTTGGATTCAAGTTTATCGTAAACTCAAAGAAACCTTTGATCCAAAGGATATTTGTAATCCAAGAAAATTAATTCCAACCATCAAAGAAGAAAACAATCAAGAACCATACCTCTTTAATGTTATTAATATTAAAAATCCAAAACTTTAAAAAGACCATTTTAAAATATATAATAAATTATTATTAAAAAAAAATAAAATTATAAAATAATAACATTATGGTGTCGTAATATCTATTTATTTAGGACTAAAGAAAAGATTACTATTTTTATTTGTACAAATTAAATTATAGTTTTTATTTCAAAAAAAAAAATTAATAGAATTATATATTACTTTTTTTTTTTTTTTTTTTTGTTAAGATTTCTTTTTTCTTCTATAAAATAATAACTATTGATGATATAAAAAAAAAATGATTATTGTTGTGATGATGAGTATATTATTTTTACTTGTTTAAAATATATATATGTATTATAATTTTATTTATAAATTCTTTTAATGTTGTGCTGTTGAAACCAAACCACCTGCAACACCTTCTACAAAATTATCTAAAAACTTTTTAGTGATTCTAGTATAATTGGTAACTTGTTCCTTCCACTTGATAAAACCTTGGTAATCTTCTAATTTTTCAAGACTAGTTTCATAAAGAGTTGACAAGAAATTTGTATGTTTTTCGAGATCCTCTTGGAGATATTCAAAAAGATTACGCTCTTGAGATTTTTTATCTAAATAATAGCCATAAACGTAAGAGTATTGCAAAACACGACGATTACGGAGTAATTGTTCTGTTGCCTCCATAAGGAATTTGGTATCGGCGGATCTAACATCAAATTTACTGAGGATTTGTTGTTCTTTGAGATGGGCATTCTTTCTTTGTTCATCAGCAATTTTCATTGCATTTCTATGGGATTCATATCTGTGATAATAAAACATGTATGCTTCGAGTTCAGTTTTGGCGTCTTGAGCTTTATCATCGTCTTCTTTAGCTTTAGATTTATCATATTTGTTACAATTGTAATAACCACCAGTAGTTGAGCCATGTTCCGACCATGGTCCACGGCATAACCAACAAAACTCATAACCACAACCACCAGCATTTTTTCTACATGTCATATGCATACAACCACCTAAAATAATTTAATAATAAAAAGATAGGTTAGTATTAAGTTTTATAATGTTTTAATTAAAAAAATCTATTTAATATTTGATGTTGATATAATTACCATTTTTTTCTATAGGAGAACGACATTCTGGGCATTTCTTTGTATTTGCCAACATCCAAGTTACATTTTCACTTTCATCGGAAGCTTTTTGAAGCCATTTATCAACTTGACTGCATGGACATGGCATATGATCTCCAATATCATAATCATTACAATTGAAACAATATTGAAAACCACATTTACATAGTACTGCTTCTTTACGCTCTTTACGATCACATCTAATTGAATATATACATCCTGGAGCTGGGCACCATTTCACTTGTGGGTTATCATCGACATACGATTTTAATATAAAGCTGTTATAACGTTCATAAATTTCTGGTGATATTATAGCTTTGAATGCATCTTGATGCACAACGACTTTACATTTTGGTGCGGGGCATGTTGTATAAATACACTCAGGTCCTTCACCGACATTAATCTCTAAATAATTTTTCCAGCATCCTAAACAATATTTATGATTACATGAAAGTGCAAATACTTTATCTGGTGCATAGTCATCTAAACAAATTAAACATGATACTGTTGTTTTTGCTGGTGGTGCGTCAAGCTTCATTACATTTGGTACACCTGCATCTGAACATAATTTTTCTGGATTTTCCATATATCTTTCAATTAACTTTTCTTTATTCCACCTAAATAATAAGAAAAAATAAAAAATTTTATTGTTATTATATTGATATTTATTTATTTTATCCAATCATTTATTGTTATTAAAAACTTACTTCATAAATCTTAATAATGCTGAAACTGCTGCATCTGATGGTATACTTAAAACATCTTTGACTTCTTTAATAATTTTGTGTGATTCTGAAAATAAATCATTTTTGTTGAGAACTTCAAAACTTCTTTGTCTGGTTAATTTACTATGTGTCCTTTGAGATTGCTGACCATCATCAAAGTCAAACTCTTGAGTACCTTCATCGTATTCATTTTCGTCATCTAAAGATTCATTTCCTGATTCTTCAGCTGAATCATCATCTACATCATAATCTTCATACATTTCATCATCTGTCATTGTTGCCGAGTTTTTAATATTATTATTATTATTAACTGAAACTTTAACTTTTTTTTTGTTTGGTTCTTCTGATTCACTTAATTCTGTTGATGATAATTTATTTTTATTATTGTTGTCTTGATTACTATTTGTTGTTGTTGTTGTTGTAGTAATTGTTGTTGTTGAAGTTTTGGTAGAATCAAGATTGTTTATTTTATCTTTCTCTTCTAAACTCGTTAATTTACTATCTAAAGTAATATTATTATTATTATTGGATGTTATTTTTTCTATTAATATTGTTTTATAAATAAATAATACCAATCCAATTTAATTTATTAAAATGATTGGGTTAATTATTATTAATTTATAATCGAAAAATAAAATAAAAAAGAAAGGAAAAAGGAATTTTAAATTAGTTAATCTATTATAAAAAAACTAAATTTATTGTGCAAAAGAATGTGTTTATAAACTATTATGTTATTTTTAATTTTATATTTTAATAGATGGATTTATTATAATATAGATAATTTAAAAAGAAAGAAATAACAAATTTAAATAAAAACCCCCCAGGTATTTATTTGAAAATTAAAAAATTTAAAAGGTTAAAAAAAAATTTAAAAAAAATTAAATTAAATTTTTTTAAAAATTTATTTAAAAAAATTTTTAAAAATTAATTAAAAAAATTAATAACCTTAAAGGGGTTGGTTTTATTTTTAAATTTAAAAAAAAAAAATTTTTTTTAAGGGGGGGGGTTTTTTTTTGGGGAATTGGAATTTTTTTAAAAAAATTTAAATTTTTTTTTTTGCCCCAAAAATTTTTTTAAATTAAAATTAAAAATTAATTTTAAAAAAAAATTAAACCTAGGGTTTTAAAAAATTTTGGAGGTTCTTTTTTTTAAAAAAAAAAATTTTTTTTTTTTTTCCGGAAAAATTTGGCTTTTTTTGGAAAAAAAAAAAAAATACCATTTTTTAAATTTTTTTGGGGGAAAAATTTTGAAATAAAAAAAATAAAATTTTTTTTTTTAAAATTTTTTTTTTGGTTTTTTTAAAAAAAAAAAAAAAAAAAAAAAGAAAAAAAAAAATTATTAATTTCTTTTTTTTTTTTTTTTAAAATAGTAATTTTATTTTATTTGTTATTATTATTTATTAATAATTAAATTAAATTGAGTTAAAAAATTAAAAAAAATAAAAAAATAAAATCACAACTCCTTTTCGAAAACCAACTTTTAAGAACATAAGAACAAATATAAATAAAAGAAGACCACAGAAAAATTAACTGGAATTTAACGTTTCTAGAATATACTTACAATTTTAATATATAATTTTTCTGTTGTTTGATTAATGTTGCTGGTTCACTAAGTGGTAGGAAAATAAATATATATGCAAGTTATTTCGTTGCCAAATTATAATTAACTATTATTTATACATAAAATATAAAATATAAAATAAGAAAAACTATAAAAAAAAAAAAACTATAGTTTTTTTATATTTATTATCTATGTTATTTATTATTTACAAAATATTTTTGTGGGGTGAAATAAAAAATAAAAAAAAAAATTAAAAAATTTAAATATAAAAAAAATTAAATTAAATTAAAAAATAATAAAAATTAAATTAATCAACAAATGGATTCAAATTTTTCAAATTATTTCTTTTTCCTTGTCATTTCCTTTTAAAGTCATATCCTTGTAT